AAGCATAGAAGCAAATGTAGATGCAATCCACACCTACCCCCCATTTCCTTCACAATCCAATATTTACAGGTTTTAGGAAAGCTGAGCTACATGACTACATGTGTACAGGGGTAATTCAGACATAGGCATGTGGATGAAATGTTTCTTTCATAGGATAAACAGGTGGTTTATTGGAACTCATAGGTTGCAGCTTCCCGTAGAAAACCAATGGTAATGCTCACAGACCACGGGTTCTGTTTATGTGGATTGTCAACCATCATATTTGTGGTTAAACTATTCATGGATCCTCACGACACTGACAAGGATTATGCGCAGCAGTGTATTATAGTTCTGAAGTAAAATTGTGAGATCAAAAAATGAGAAGCTCTGCTCCTTGTGAGACTTCTCCTGTAAGTACATCCAGGGACTACTTGAGTGCATAGGCCCATTGGAATTGCCACAACTGCCCAGTAACCACCTCCCTGGAGAACCGGCAAACGAGAGCTGTGTCAAAGAACAAGGTTCAAAAAATGAAGGGGGATGAAACGATTCGGGGGCCCAAAGAAATGCAAGGCAGCTGAGACATGTTTTGAGACAGACACGTTTCCTGTGTGCCCTAAAATGCAGTAGACAGTGGGGCTCAAGGGAGGGGCAACCGCCCTCCTAGGAAGGCATTTGAACATGGAGAAGGCTTTTTACATTTGATTTTTACTGGGCATAATACTGGCATTTAGTCAGCAGGGGCCTGGGATAGTAAGCAGCTTGCAATGCATGGGACATTTCTGTACAAACAAAGAATTGCCCAGCTCCAAATGCCAACAGCATCCCCATTGAGAAACATTGGTCCACAGTACTTTGCTTATATGTACAGATGGGCTAACAACGCAACAAGCAAAATGACGTGTGTGTGTGTGTGTGTGTGTGTGTGTGTGTGTGTGTGTACGAGCAGCAAATCCTAGCATAGCTAAAAATGACCCCCTTGCCTTTCTAGAAATCTTACAGTACATACAATGGGATTTGCTAATTTGGGATGGCCCTGTGTTTGAAAAAGCTTATGTAGCCTATGTTTCTGTTGTTTTCTAGAAATACTAATGGTGGTGCACATTTCCATACAGAGATAAAGCATAATGATTACCCAAAGAGAGAGAGGGGGGGGGGAGAAATAGTTTGGGAGTATTCTGTCTTTGTCCTTGCCACCCTTAGGTCACTGCCAAATTATAGTAGAGTCACACACTATTCTTTGAAACTTGAGTTTGAACTAGCCGGAAATGTGCTTTCTCTCAGGAAGATGGGCCTATTAATTTGATGATTCCTTTTCTCTTCTAGGACCTTAGTTCTAGAAGTTCATTCTTAGTAAAATAAAACAGACTGAAATAGCCCAGCCGTAAGTACCAGTAGAGAGAGCAAAATACTCAATAGTGGTCAAGAGACAACTTTGTAAGAAACTGCATCTAAGTGGTTTGTTAGTGTACACCGCATATCCTAGCAATGTGAATAAATGAACTGTTGTTTGAAAGTATATACTTTTACTAGTAAAGTTAGGCTTAAAATATGATTGTAATTTAGGAATGCATGAGCTACCATGCTGATGAAATGATTTACATTTATATGCCTTGTACAAGTTTGATTCCCTCTCACTTATTCTGAAAGAGATTTCTCACTCTGTGAAATGTGCTGTTGGGACCACGTATAAAATAAAAACACTGAAGAAAATTCTGAGCAAGAAATTACTACTAGTAGAAAAAGGTAAGTGAAAAATCATTGTGCTTAATATAGGATAGAAAAATAAAACCAGAAAGTCAGTTTTTCAGAGAGAGAGAGAGAGAGAGAGAGGAGAGAGAGAGATGAGTTTGCCTTTTCCTCCATTTAAAAGTTACTGAAATACCCAAAATGGTTCTCTGAATATTATAGATTTAATGTAAATAATTTAAGGTGTCAACATAAGGATGAACAATATTGACCATAAAAAGTGCAACACATTTCACATACACAGGAAACCATCAGGCAGGCTGCCCTAAATTAATGCTGCTCACCAGAGGTCTCATTTGTCAGGCTGATTGGTAATGACCCTGAAGATGCTTAGTCCATGGCGTCTTTTTAATCCCTTAATGCTAATGTTCCTTTCTCCATGTTAAGCATGATGGAAATGGCTGCTTACAGTCTGTCTAGTTCTTTCACACCTGACACCTTCCTGGAGATGGATGTGTTTCTCCCCCCCGAATCATATCTTGGGGGCTCAGGGGAACCCACACACTTCAGCCTAACCTGGAGCTGTGTAACAACAACACGATGAACACACACATTTATTTTCTCTACAGACGTGCAGTGTGTGGGTCAGGTTGCAGAAATGCTGAAACTGCAGAAAGGCTCAGGCAGAGGCATACTTGTATCGCAGGGGAGGGGGTGGGGTGTGTTCACACCTTCACATCTTTCCAGGGCTCCCAAGCACGAGGCCTCTGGATGGGCTACTGGGATGGGTATGCAGTGTTCCTGCCTTTTAGGATTAGCTATTAAAATAGAGCCTATTCTGCAGAATACAGCTTGGTTCACAATCCTTTGTTTCTTTCCACAGCTTTGTATTTAAAGAATCAATTAATAAAAGTACCTGGTGGTTCCAAGTCTTATATATTAGACTAGCCACAGTTTTATTTTTACTTTCTTTTAACTTTTAAGCTTGTCTCTTAAAATTTTCTGTAAGCATATAAATTAGTAGGCAGAAGAAGTGTGGATAGTTTATAAATCTGACCTATCATTCAAGAAAAACAATAGATCGAGGCATCAGATTCTCATTTTTGTTTGGGTGCACTCATTGTAGGAATAAAAAATCCCATTATATGCACCACTAGAGGGGAAAAAACTGTTCCTTTTATCTACTAAGTGGGACTTCCTTTGACACGTATAGTGAGTGATAAAACAGCGATGTGTTATGTTTACCACTTTTATGGGAGTGAGGCCTTGTGATTTGTTAAAAAAACGTAAGTATAGAAAATTAAAATAACATTACATTCCTTGGTATTTTTCCTAAGACAACAAAAATAATAATAAGATAATGTAAGATAGAGGACGACTGCAGCAAAAAATGAGAACATAGGTCATGTCTATAGCTGGATGTAAGCACTATGAAATGGATGAAACCTCAGCCGGAGAAACCTACTTGGGCCTGCAGAAACATTTTTTCAGAGCAAAAATATGTCTGATCCTATTCCTGAAATGACACCAGTGCAGATATCCTGCGCCATTTCACTAGCAGCACGTGGCTGAGTGCGGCAAGTGGTGCAACAATGCTGGTCGCTTTTCTTAGTTATAAATGGTTCTGTTTTTTTGTAATAGACTAAGTGGGGCCAATTTTTTTTTCTTTTAAGCAAAACCATCCCTCTTTTCAAGGAGTTCTTTAAAATATCAAATATAAATGAATGGCAGGATCCAAATTTACCCACCAGATGAAATGTTGCTTTTTGGTTGAGATCGAAAATTACATTCCTCCATATTATGAATCAGAATCATTTCAGAAAATTGTAGTCCAACTTCTGAGAATAAAGTGACATCTAGTTAGGTCTTGTCTTATTAGACAAAGCATGTGTTTTTAATAAAAGGGGGCCCAAAACAATTGTGAACAATGAAATGCAAGGTAGTATTTACATGTGGTCACATGTTTGAGAGCAGAAGCCATGCTGTGCCTGTGACTCCATGGAAAATAGCAAGATTATAATAGAGGGTTTAGTAATGTAAACAGTACTGACTGTAGGCTCATAGGGACACCTTTCATAACTTTAAAGTCACCTATTTTTTTTGCACTGAAAGTCAATATTATATTTATGGATGCAATCTTCAGAGATATAAAACACAAAATGAAATTTTCCTCATTCTCAATTTAGCAAAATTTTTTCATGTTTTTATATGTCTAGGTATTTTTTTTTTAATCCATGTGCTTTATCTTTTTAATAGCAGCAATCCAACTTAATGCAGCACTGAAAATAAGTATTCCTTTGCAGTCCCACTCAAAGCTAACTGCGGGCAGAACACTGCATCTTGCTTAAGTTTTAATTTTGGATTCAGAATTTTAAAAAAGATGTGATTGTCAATACTATCTTCCTTAGATCAAGCATGGTTGTTTCGACTTTGAAGATAATCAAGCTAGAGAAAGACCAAAATATTTATTTCTAAAGCTTGCTACAGACTAATAGGGTCACATCTCATCTGACTTTATTCCAAGTCTTGTCATCCTTACGGGAGGTTGGTGCATTAGGTAAAGAGTCTAAAAAAAAAAAAAGTGAAGTGTGTATAGCTATGGTACTTAAAGCATGCAACAGAATTTGGGTAAGCATGCTTGTTAAAGGTCCATGAAAGCTTCTTGCATTTAAGAAAAAGATGCATGAAAACACTCAGACTTATTTGTGGCAATTAGATTCACTGGCACAATATAAAATAATGGTACTATACTGCACCAATGTAACTGTGAAAGAATATTCTTCTAGGATCAGGTCTCTAAGGAATCCAAAGGGGGTGACTAGACCCCCAAGCCCTTAATAAGTTCTCAGCTATCAAAAGCCTTCTTCAAAAATACATTTAAGTTTCAATTTTTTTTTCCATTAACATAATGAAATTTTCTTTCTTTCTGTTTTTCAACCTCCACCTCTTACCAGTGCCCAGCCATTCTATCCCCACCACCCTCTCCTTTAACCTGCACTCTGAAATTTGGCTTTCCGGTAACAGAGAGCCAGCGATTGTCTTCTGCTCATCTTCTTTGATTAAAACCCCTGATGAAGAATAACTGGTGCAACCGTTGTGTCCCTTACCAACCAGTGCCCATGCTGGACAGCAGGGTCACTATACCCGACCCTGTGCTTGTTGGCCACATCTGGGCTGTACAGGTGGGGAGCACTTTCCATGCGCTTCCTTCACCGCAAGTTAAATGGAGACAGACACAGTCAGATCCCAGTGCAATGCAATGTCAGGTGTTTAGGAAGTGCGGCTTCCCCCAAAGATGGTCCGTCTATGTTTCCAAAGAGTCTCGCACCTCATTACGGACGATGGAACCTGGAATAAGAAAATGGAAACACTGAGTGAGTGAGTGGTACAGAGACGCAGGCTGCATTCAGTGAGCCAAATAAGGCATGGGAATGTCTGTAATCAGAGGTGGCTGTAATCAGACAGCCCTCCAATGAATTACTGCTATAAATTACTGTCACAACAGAATGCTGCTAGAAATGCTTCGTCAGAAAGCAGAGGCAGCCCCTGCAGTAAAGATGCTGATTACATCCTCCCAGGATGCTGAGCCATCGACCCACAAAGCCCCACTATCCTGGAGGATCATGTTCTAAGCTGTACTGAGCAGAGGGAGATTTTCATAAAGGTTTTGGTTACATCTGGTTTGTCGTTATACAAGGAAACACCGACAAATAATCACTATCTCATTACCTTTAGCCTCTTATCACCTTCTACTGAGGACTCCAAATCTCTCTCTCTCTGTCTCTGTCTCTCTCTCTCCTTTTTTATTTTTTTTATTTTATATTTTATTGATTTTTTTACAGAGAGGAAGGGAGAGGGATAGAGAGTTAGAAACTTCAATGACAGACAAACATCCATCAGCTGCCTCCTGCACCCCCGCCACTGGAGATGCACCTGCAACCAAGGCACATGCCCTTGACTGGAATCGAACCTGGGACCTCTCAGTCCGCAGACAGATGCTCTATCCACTGAGCCAAACCAGTTCCTGTCAAATCTACTTTCTACACCTGAATTTCCAAACGCCTGCTGGATTTTTCTTCCAAACGTTCTATAGGCAAGCATGCCCACAACCATACAGATGATTTTTTTTTTTTTGTAAGCCTGCCCTTGCACTTTCTATCTTGTTAAATGTTCTACCTTTTAAAATGCTTCTAGGCTAACACCTCATACTGGCAACTCCTACCCCTGGGCCCTGAACAATCTTGCAATTACTAGGAAAGCCAATCCAGCGATGGCCCTGGGTCTGCCACAAGCAGGATGGCTCCCTCCCTGCAGGGAGCACAGCACTGCCCACACCCCAGGAGGGAGCGGAGCCTGGGGCCTGTTGACACAAACACACAGCTCCCTGTGGTGTAAACCCCTCTCTGTGAGGTCCAGCTTTCCCAGGCATTTCAAACTCACGTAATTTAGCCATTACTTTAGCCCTCTCCTTATCTGCTGGGCTCCATATAGCCAGCAATGTCCTGGGTCCAAAGGACAGTTTGGGGGAACATGACAAGAGAGGCTTTCTCTCCCCATTGGGAAAGCTCGTGGAATGAAGACGGTAAATTAAAAATCGGGTTGGGAAACAAAGTGAGCAGTCAGCGGACCTAAAGGGACTGAGAGCCTCCTAAAGCCCAGCATTTTCCTGGAAAGTGTCCTGTAAAAACATTTCTAAAATTTGCACTGGAAGGTTTTTGTTTTTTTCCCCTGCAGACACAGTCTGTCCATGGATCCCTTTAGAGAGTGAGCTCCAGGGTCTGGATGGCATAGGAGTCACAGGCCCTCCACACAGCTTCAAGGGCGGCTAAGAGAGGAAGGTGACCAACTAATAGGGTGCATGCAATCATGTGTCCACAAACCCAGGGTTCAGAACTGTTCCCACTTTTCATGTGGGCTGATAGGTTTGCTAAAAACACTATCCAACCAGGAAAGGGCTCTTACATCCTGTTTAAATTAGGCATCCTATGTTTGAATTCAGCTCTAAAATTTTCTGCTAGAGGTACGGAAAATGCAAACTGTTCTTCAGTTTGTTACCACTTGGTGGTTTGCATCTATTTTGAAACCTAAGAAGTTTGCCTCCTGAGAAGTTTGCCTATCTCACAGAATGACACTTTGGCTTTAGGCTTCCAGTTGATGGAGCAATAAATATATTTACTGTGCCCTAAGGATGCTTAAGTTTTCCCGGTTGCTCTTTTTTTTCTTTCCAGAATTTTCCAGAGACTCAAATTTGGAGTTATCCATATTTTTTGCTTCCTGTTAAAACTGCAAAACACTTTCCTTATTTCCATACTATTGAGAGGAAGTAAATAGGGGGCTGGGGGGGGAAGGAAGGGGGAAAACTCTTTGTAAGTCATGGATTGCAGAAAAAAATATTTCTTTCCTGTAAAAAAGTTCTTTTCTATATGGTTCCTCCATAATTTATTTTAAAAAATGTACTCCTTTAAATGCATTCAGGTAATATAAAATATAAAATTATTCACAAATATAAAATATGAACTTTCCCATACGCCCCTAATTATTATTCACAGAAATCCTGAATAACTCACTTTGCCTTTCTTTAAAAGGGTATACGTGTCCTGCACACACACTCGCTAGTATGTTAAACAAGTGAGGAGGTTCTCCTAAACCACAGCTCCCTGCTCTACCCAAGAAAACAGACCGCAGGTTGGATGGGATTTTGTTATTTCAAATGCTGTGCCATGATTTCAACTCTGGTGGGTAAAGCAGCATTTTGCAACGCTGTTAGGTTTTTGTCCAGGAAGCGAGGACATGGGGCACCCATGAAAGAAAGCGCTTTGCAGAAGCGGTCCTCTCCTTCCTCTGGGGGGGACTCCTCATTTTCCTTTTGGTCTCATGTGTAGTTTCTGCCCTCTTCCATTTTCATAGGCATATCTGGAAGCTGAGTGGTTTATTTTATCTGTAAACCCACCTAAGAAAGTAATACCACAAGATGTTATAGAATGAGATAATTGCTTTAAAGACACACACACAGAGACACACCTCAACATAACCACATCAAGAAAATTTGAAAAGTAGAGAAAAGAAAAAACAAAAAAACACTATAGTCCCACTCTATAACTAACCATTAAGGGTTTTTTTTTTATATATAATTTCCTAATTTTTTCTATGCATCTGAATTTTAAATAAAACACACTGCTGCCATATATCAGTCAGTGTCCTGATTTTTCCACTTAACATTATGTCAACAATCCCTTGAGGCCTGTTTTTATTCTGAGAGCATCAATTCAATGATTCTATTAATCTTTCATAATACTCCTTAATATAAGTACTACATTTTACACCCTAAAATGTTATTTACAAAACTCAGTTAAAAAAAAAATAATGTTCTCTTGATTATAAATCTTATACACATTGACACAAAAACATTGAAAAACAGCATTTCCAGAAGAAAAATATAATTACCCATAATATTAGTACTCAGCTGTAACCATTTCAAAATTTAGTTGTTTTTTTTTTGTTTTGTTTTAATTAGCTTTTAAATAAAAGCTGACCTTTCATACAATTTGCCTTTACGGTTTAGAGCAGAGGTCGTCAACCTTTTGGACCTCACGGACCAGCGGCTGGCGACCCCTGGTTTAGAGAATGGTTTTAAGTTGCAGAAATTCCATTTATTATGGAACAGGAAGTGGCTTTCCTCTGCCACGGTGATCTCCTTTCAGAATGCAATGGCCCTTCCTATGGTCTTTGGGATTTTGAACAGTTGTGCAGGCGGGCAGCTGCTTCTGGGGGACAATAGAGGATGTGACTGGCTGGATAAGCAGCAAATGTTCTAAGGGACCAAGGTTAAGGCTTGGTACCTGTCAGGCCACAGAATGAACTCTTGCAGGGCCCACTGGTCCTCACCCTTGTTACAGGGAACTAAAGTCCATTCTAATTCCAGACGGATATTTGCAAAATTCTGGGAGAAACCTGGGGAACTAGAGGAAAGAGTGCATTACTACCATTCTTCACCCACAGCGATAGACCAAACATGTCCCAGGATGTATTTATGATGGAGGTCCAACGTGTCCTCTTGGTACACCAACAGCAGGAGTGTCACATTTAATATTAGCACCAGCACATTATTCAGGGAAAGTCATCACGATGAACTTCTCATTTACAAAAAGAGTAGAGAATAGATCCTTTATTTTTTCAAGGCTTTTTTTTTTTTTTACTATGTAATACATCCTATGTTTCAAAAATTCAAAAGGCTCAAAGAGCGAGCAATGAAAAGAATCCCTCTCATGCCTGATCCCAGTTCCCCAGTTCCCTTTCCAGAGGCAACCAATGTAATCAGCATTTTTGGTTTCTACAGAGATACAGAAGAAAAAAAAAAGCTACATATGGGAACGGTTCCTTCCAGTGTTGACTGATCCATCACTGTGTGGGAGATTATCTCTGGATAACGAGGTACCTGGGCAGAGGGAGCAGGGCTGTCTCAACCCTTTAACACCCCCGAATGCCCCGGGAGTTAATAGATTTAGGTTGTAAAGGAAATGTTTACTTGATGTAAGGAGATAATGTCTGACACTAATAAGAAGAGCTAATAAGTGAGTTGCTCTGTATCTAGGTTGTATCTAAGAGGCTAGGTAATGATCAACAGCTTGTTTATGCCCTCCAAGGGTGGCTGGCGCTAAAACACCACTATCTTCTACATGAGCAGCTTTCTAAATGTAAAACATTATCGTATATTTGTATCATTAGGATGAGACACAGCAGAGTTTACCAAAACTTTCCCCTCCTAAAAGAAATAATGAAAACAATCTGATAATCATGCATGCTTTTCACAAGTCTCAGAGCCAAAAGGCAAGTCTAATGATGTAATAGAAAAGAATGGAAAAACAGTAGAGATTTGCTTTCCTGCCAAGTTTTTAAGAATGCTTAAGCAAAGCAAATTCATCTCAGTGATATGAATATTTAATGTTTCCTTATCTGGAAAGACATTTGGAAGCATGTTAATCAATATATATTTTTGAAAACTTTTAAAACTTACCTTTGATAGCAGCTATTACCCCCTCCCCCCAAGTCTATAATTTTCTTTTGAAATGAAGCTCATCCCTATTTGCATCTATTCATATTTACTTAAACAATGAAGATATCAATAGACTATTTTATGGAACACAACAAGCATACTCTTAATTTCTGCAGATGAGCAAATACAGAAAAACAACCAACAGAATTTTCAAGTTGAGAAAATACTCTACCAAATATAAAAATATACTATAAAATGTACTATTCTAAGTAAACAGTGTGACAAGTACAAGTATAGACAATAGCTTGCTAGAGCACACTAAAGAATCTGGAAACTGACCCACGTGTACATTAAAAGAAAAATTTTACATGGAGAGGGAAATAAATTGCAGTGGGACATTGACTGTTGATTTAGAATAAAGTAAAACTAGTTTACTCTATTGAATCACAAACCCAAATAATTGCCCAATGGATGAAAGATCTAATTGCAAAAACAAACAAACAAAAAAACAAATAAAAATTGAAGGTAATTCTATATAATGAAAGGCTAATATGCAAATCGACCATAGGGGAGGCACTATGAAGCCAGAAGCCAGAAGCCAGAAGCCAGGCTCATGGCTGGCACAGCAGCAGTGGCGGGAGCCTCTCTAGCCTCTGTGGCAGTGCCAAGGACCCAAGGGGTTCCAGACTGTGAGAGGGTGCAGGCTGGGCTGAGGGACCCTCCATCCCCGCCCTCTGTGCATGACTATTGTGCACTGGGCCTCTAGTTCTTTTATAATCTTGACCCTCTTTAGGACACAAGACAATAAATTAAAAAATAACAATACAGACAAATTTAAATATGAAAACATTTAAATAGGAAACCATAAAAAAAGTTACAAAGTTAGCAATAAATTTGGGGAAAGTATTGTGATATATAGCAACTCAATATCTGAGTTTTTACTAATCCATAAGAAAAAGATAAACAACTCAAAAGAAAATTGGTCAAGACAAATCAAAGAATGAAAAATAAATGGTCAATAAAGGTATGTAAAGATACTCAACTCTACAGAAATCAGTGGACTAAGATATTAATGTTCATTCTTTAGAATATAGACCTCCTCTCCACCATCATCACCCCCAAATACTGACGAGAGTTAACAGACCAGGCATGCTCATAAACTGTAGTATTTCTCAAATATAAAAATATATATCCCGGGTCCTAGGAAATCCACTTATGGGACTAATTCAGAAATACTGGTGTGTGTGTGCGCAAAAAGATACATTTATAAAGAAAGTCAAAAGTCACCTTTGTTCTACCAATGAAAAACTAAAAATTCCGTAAGCATCTATCAATAGAATAACCCATTCAGGAAGTTATGGCAGATTACTGATGAAATACCATAGAATCATTCAAATGAATAAGATATATACTAATATGGAAAAATTTTGTGAATGCTGTTTTGTATGTGACTGAGAATGTGTATATATAGGCAGATGTGTGTGTGTGTGTGTGTGTGTGTATATGATGGGTTTATGTAGAGATATATATAATGTTTGTAAATGCACAGAAAAAAATATCTAGAAGGATCTACACCAAATTACACCAGTGGTTACTGGTTAGAATGAGAATAAAACTGAGGAAGGACTGAAGGGAGTTTTCAATTTTACTTGACAATTTTTTACACTGTTTGAAAGCTTATTTAGACTATTATTTGCTCACATTAAAAAGACATCTGTGAAAAAGAAATGACCTTTACTTCTCCCTGCATCTTATTTCCTTTTTACTTGTTTATAGAGTCCAACAGAATAGAAAGTATAAATTCTTATTTTTCATAAAATGAGGACTTCCATAAAAAGGCATTTTAAATTTTAATTATTTTTTATTACAATTTATTCTTTATATAATGCCATCAAATGAAATGAGGGGGAATAAATACTACAACTTCTAGGAAAACTACAGAGAAGTAAAATTATCCTGAATGACAAAGACTGGATTGATACAGTCACTACATCTCGGGGATCAGGACTCAAAGACATGAAAAATGCCACCTTCCCAGGTGCCTGGAGGCCCCACCAGTTGGATGTTACCATAAACATCCAGCCACCTTATTCTGATCAACTTTACTACCACAGTGTGACCACAGGTGTCAGGAATTAGCAAGAACTCTCCTGACCCCAGAAGTCAAAGGGAGAAAAAGACAGGACACAGGTCTGGCTTGATACTGGCATGTGATGGGTTTATGTAGAGATTGTGACAGCATAACGCCTTCAGACAGAGAGAAGCCCCATATATTCAGGATGCCTGAAAATCCTGTATGCATTCTCTCTCTCTCTCTCTCTCTCTCTTTCTCTCTCTCTCTCACACACACACACACACTCTAAATAAATAAATAAACAAATAAACAAACAAACATGCCATTGGAGAAAACAAAATAAACAAGAAATGTCACTGGCAGAGAGGGGAGTTTCTCCTGCACACCAGACACTGTTATTATAGGAACAATAGCTGTGGAGCAAGGCAGGCCCCGTGAATGTCAGGGAGGAGGTTTGCTATTAAATCCTACTTCCATCATGCCACGTGCTCTCATCAGCAGCTTCACAGACACCGGTGCCTCAGCATTGACAGTGGCACCTGATGTAGGACTGCCCTCCAGAGGCTGTTTCCAGCCTACATGTTTCCCAGAAAGGAGTCTACACGGAGCCACCTATTTTGATTTGTCTTCTAACAATGTAATTCTTAAGGATTGGATTGACTTGCATGTTTTTAGGAACGCACCTGTTGTATAAGGCAAAGCATGTAAACCTCTGAGATAGAAATATCCAGAACACCTGTGAATTGTGCTGGGAGGAAAGGTGGCAGGATTTCAGAGAGCTTCTGTGGCATCGGTGGACATGGGATTCCTATTTTTAAGTGACATGTTCTGAAAACAGTTTCTCCCCTCTCTGAGTATGTCTGCTGTGAGACCAAAGCAGACACATACGTGCCCACACCGGCTCCCACCAGCATCTGTTCAGGGCATAAAACATTAAATGAGTCTCTTCAAAAAGCTTGTCTTCTCACCCAGAAAATAAAAAGAAACCAAATATAGCCTTTTAGAATGACTCAGACTTCTTTGAGAGAAAAAAACAAGATTTAATTTTAGAAATGTTCATTAGAGGGTATTATGTTAGGCTTTATTTTTTTAAAATTTGATTGTGGTAAAATACACATAACATAAAATTTACCATCCTGATCATTTTTAATATGCTAAACTGAATTGTGTCCACTTACCTTGTAAACTGCCGACTCTCTTCGTGCACTTCCATTTCTGTGCTTTTAAATTCATTTAGTTCTTTCCGTATTGCTGCCTGAATAGGAGAAAGTATATATACAGAACTGTTACTTAGGTCACATATTTTCTTGGCATACCCTGCATCAACGAAGCAGGCCTTCTTTTAAGAAATGTATTGGGAGAACCCTAGACGGTATGGCTCAGTGGACAGAGCGTCAGCCTGCGGACCTCAGGGGCCTGGGTTCCATCAGGTCAAGGGTACACACCTTGGTTGCAGGTTCCTACCCGACGTGGGCCCTGGGGCCCTAGTCAGGGTGTGTGCAGGAGGCACATGTGTTTCTCTCACATCAATGTTTCTCTCTTCTACTCTCTCTAAAAGTTCAATGGAAAAATATCCTCAGATGAGGATTAACAAAGAACAACAACAAAAAAGCAAGCAAGAAAGAAATGTCTTGGGGAAAGGGATTCCTAATTTCTCCTAGGAAACGATATGCTAGATGCTGTGTCATGCTACTTGCAAACTAAAACCGGGATAGATTTCTCTCAAGTGTCATCGACAAGGTAGAGAAAGGGGGCCTTTCCTAAACACATCCTGGGATCTGACCTATGAGTCACCCCCATGACCACAAGGGTAGTGCAGGTCATGAGATCTCCTGAGAAACAATATCATTTCCCTGTGTAAGTTCTGCATTTAATACCACACACAGTGACACGGCTCTAGGCAGTTGCCACAAATCTACTGAAAAGGCAGTTGCTATTTATTCTCTCATATCGAAAGTTAGGATAATTAGAGTTGAAAGGTTCAGCACAGAACTTAAAAGCCTCTCAAATAAAATACCAAACAGAATGCTGTCACTATGACTGTTCAGTGAGCACATAATCCCTGCCATGTAGATACTGGGGTTTAAAGAGACGCTTATGTCCTTCAGGCTGAAAAACAGAGATACTCATCAAAATGTTAACATCAGTTATCAATTAATAGTGGCTGGATTGCAGATGGTTTTTGGTTTCCACTGTGTGCTTATCTTTATATCCTAACTTTTCTACAAAGAATAGTTTCCTGCCCTAGCTGGTTTGGCTCAGTGGACAAAGCACTGGCTTGTGGACTGAAAGGTCTGGGTTCAATTCTGGTCAAGGGCACGTGCCCAGGTTGCAGCTCATCCCCAGTGAGAGGAGTGCAGGAGGCAGCCAATCAATGATTTTCTCTCTCATCATTGATGTTTCTATCTCTCTCTCCCTCTTCTTTCTTCTCTGAAATAATAAAAAAAATAGTTTCCTCATGTAAATTTAAAAACACTAATCAAAAAGCTCTGTGAAAAAAATGGACTCTTCAGCCAAAAGATAACAAGCCACAGAGAATCACTTCACTGACAGATAAGGAAACCTACTTTGTGGTGGGAAAATGAAGAATATTAGAAGAGGAAAAGGACAGAAGGAAGCCCTGAGGCCTGTCTCTAGCTTTCCCCTACCATGGTCACTCAGCAACATCCAAGTTTTTCTCCCAACGCCCCTTTCACTGTTATTCTTAAATCCTATTGTCACAGCTTGCTTTGTCTCCTCAATCATATTTCTTAGCCCCTACTGACTGACTCTATGGGGAGCTGGTAGCTGGGAAGTGATTACAGAGATATTTTTTTCTTTAAAAAGCAATTCTTGCTACTGAACTTTAGAAAAGATGAAGTAAGAATAAAGGTATGTGTAGGCCTGAATCCACTGAGATAAGATAATGAATCTTGCTGCACAAGTGAGATGAACAGGGAGGATACTTTGCTTTAATCACTGTAAAACTGGGTACCTAGAACCAGCAACTGAAAGAGCCAACCTGCTCTATACTAATCACTAATTGGCACCTATAAAAAAATCTTCCTTTAAAGAAGGTATTTTAAGAGGGATAGTGGCATAAAAATCATTTCAAGTTTCCCCTCTAAATGTTAACGTTTCAGTGGAGGAAGTGGAAAGTAGTCCATTCGCAGTCAGAAGTCATGGGATCTAGTCTTACCTATGCCTTCAATAGCAGTGACCCTTAGCGAATTACTTTGCTCTAAAACCTGTTTTATGATCTGGAAAATGGGAATGAGAATTCCTCATAATATTATTAGAATCAATTAAGAGCACATTTGAAAGTGCTTTGTACACTGAAAGTATTGAAGAATATGTCATTATTGTGATACAATTTTAAAAAATGAATTAAATGTTAGTTTGTGATTGTGCAAGAAGAAAATGTCACCCAGTAGGTTGGCTTATGGATCTAAGAGTCTGGCCAAAGTCAATCAAAGGATTCCGTGAGAATCCATTGGGATGTGGAATCTACAAAAAGTGCTGTATAGCTTGTTTTTATTTGGAAATTGTGTGCTATACGTTCTTTATATTAGTAAGACTTACAATTCGCTTGTGACCATATACATAGACAGCCAATTCAGTAGAGACACATCCCACATGCTCCTCTGCAATGTTGCCTTGCCATTCCCTCTTCAAGAGGTGGAGTCTCTCTCTCCAGCAGTGGACCTGGGTGAGTCCTGTAACTGCTTTGAACAATAGAACACAGCAGAGGTGAGGCTGTGTCAGTTCAGGGGGCCTAGCATCTTTTGCTTCCTTCTTCTTGCAAGCCAGCTGCCATGTAAAAATGTGCCCACCCTCGGGAAACCACAGTGTGAGAAACCCAAGTTCAAGCAGAGGCGCTGGAGGATGTGATGCCATGTGGATACAGAGAGAGGCCGAGGACCAATAAGGCAAAGACGTGCTGCTAGTGGAGAAGCCGGCTCAGGAGTGGATTCTGGAACCCCAGGCACCACCCTCCTTGATGTTACATGGATCAAAAACAAACCAATGAGCTGAGCCCTTCCTGAAGTCCTAACTCACAAAACTATGGACAAAATAAGATGGTTGTTTCAAGTTCACCAAGTTTTGGGATGGTTTGTTACAAAGCAGTTCAACACTATTTCAAGACTTTCATCTCACAGATGCTGAAATGGAGATCAAGTGACTTTGTATTATAGATATCAAATGGGCATTGGGTACTAAGATGGGGCTGATGCAACTGACTTCTTACTTCAAGTCCTCCACTCTTCCCAGTAAAGAAAGATTCAGAGCCTAACTCATCCAGATAATTGCCTCAGATCTCCATGTTGTGTGTGCTGGTTTGTAATTAGAAATGAATCCTTTATAGGCATGAATGTGATGTGGAATTATAGGAAATGATTGATTGAAAATATATGTCAGCAAGTTGTGACGACAGCCAATTAAAGAAATGCAATATCCATTTTAAAAAATTCACTAAAGAAGGACCATAGTTTTATTCCAAGAGTTATTTCCTCTTAGTAGCTAAAGGGATTTCCTGAGACTGTTTCATAAGAAGGAAAAAAAAAGTTTTTCCCTCCCATAGGTTATGTTAGTGATCCACATGTACAATATTCTTAACTCTCTTTGCTATTCAGTGTTTAGGCTTAATAACTCTTCATGTAAGTGTAAATGGGACTGCTTTTGTTGAAAATATGGAACAGAAAGAAGTAGGTTGATGTGGTGGCACTGGAGTCAGAATGGTGCTGGGTTGGACCAATGGGAAGTAACTGAGCCAAAACTAGGTATTTCTAAGATTGAAACTAACCAAGCCTCCAAGAGATAGCACTGAGGCCAAATATGCATTATTATTTTTAATCCTCACCCAATGATATGTTTTTATTGATTTTTAAAGTGAGAGAAAGAGAGAGAGAAACACATCAATGTAAGAGAGAAACATTGATTGGTTGCCTCACGCACATACCCTGACCAGGAACGAGCCCACAACCCTGACTGGGAACTGAACCTGCAAGCATTCGGTGCATGGGATGGATGATGCTCCAAATCACTGAGCCACCTGGCCAGGGCAAAATATGCAATATTTTTCAGACCATGAGAATTACAGTTTCTTTCTGAGACTTAGTTGAAAGAACTTCATATGTCACATAAGTGGCTTAAACAATGAAAGGCAAAAAAATTATTGGGACACTGAGTAATATCAAGCCTCCTTAGATGGCTGAATGGGGATAAGTGAGTATTGGCACTTCTAGAAAAGCAATAAAATCATAAATCAGTGAAATCACAGCTAAAGACACTTGAGTACTTGCCTTGTCTGCAGGTGTCAACCTGGCCCAGGGCTTGTCTGCCCTGCGATCGTAGTCTGGAGAATCGGTGACTTCTACATACTCGTTAAATCGCAGGATCCTTCGAGCTTGTAGCTCTGCCACTGTAGGTCTCAGGCTGAGCTGCAGGAGGACAAGGACAAAGGACGAGTTCAGTAAACCATTTACATTCTCGTGGTTTTCTATAGAGAACTTCGAAGTTCTGGTCAAATAAGGTCACTTTCACATATTAAAAAAAAAAAATAGAAGAAAGAAAAGGCAGCAGCATCTTGGGAGTTTCTAATAAGAACTAGAAAGCAGTGTGCCCTAATTTTGAGACTATAAAAATCATCCTTTTTAGATAGGTCACCATCTTAGCCAACTGTGTGCATTATGCTGCTTTCTCCACCTTGCCTGGTATTGTGATAAAGGTGCCTGTCATCCCTGACACAGGGAACATGAAGCTACAGGCACAATAAAAATCCAGACACAGGATGTAGATTGAATTATGTATCAAGGAGAAAGCCCTGCAACATTTAGAAATGACAATAAAAAGCTTGGTTCCTGCCCTAACTGGTTTGGCTCAGTGGACAGAGCGCTGGCCTGCGAACTGAAGAGTCCCAGGTTCGATTCTGGTTAAGGGCACATGCCTGGGTTGCTGGCTCAATGCCCAGTAGGGTGTGTGCAAGAGGCAGCCAATCAATGATTCTCTCTCATCATTGATGTTTCTATCTCTCTCTACCTCTCCCTTACTCTCTGAGGTAAAAAAAATATATATATTTTTAAAAAGCTTGGTTCCTATTTTTATTAAACCTGTACATTCAGAAATGCACCAAGTTATGGCAAAGAAATGGTCCAGTGAAGGGTGTGTCCATGGCCTTCTTCCACAAAAGGCTAGGGACCCAGGCCTCTGCTTGACATTTACTCTTGGCCACAAAAGCTGACACGTATGAGGGGGGCCTTCTGGAGAACTGAACTTCTGGGCCCTAACTACTTCAAATCAGTTGCAACTTTCAAGACACATCTAATAACGTGGATTCCTCCTGAGGTCTTGGTCAAATTGGAATTTGTAGTTATATTTACTACTAATCTCCCCAGCCCTGTGGTATTTGCTTTCCTCTCTCGGCTCTTTCTCAAGCTCGAGAATAAAGCAGAGATGGTTCTGAGACTAAAGAAACATGGTCCTCTTGTCAGCAGGTCTTGTCAGCAGGCATCACCTACTCTCTGCTCCTGAGGTTCCTGCTTCTGTGGCCTTTCTCAGTGGGAGGTGTCCTAGTATTGTCACACCGGTAGATCCAGGCTTGTTTTACCCTTGGGGTTCATATTCAGCATCTTTTCTCTCCGTATATGTACCCTACATGAGCCAGACTTTCCACAGAATAAGTAGTCCTCTGTGGAAGCGTTCCTTATTTACATAGGCTCAATGTTTGGAAAAAGAAAGCACAATCACAGAAAAATGTTTTTGTGGTTAAAAACATCCCCATTTTGGGGCCGTGGTTTTCTTTTGAGTAAAACCAGAGGTTGGACTCAGTCAGTGCTCTAACTTTCAAGACATTCAAAGACTCTTAGAAGGCCTGAGTCTATACTTGAGATGGGACAGGAAAACTGCAGTTCCTTCTAGTTCATGAAGTCCTGGTGGGCAGTGGACAAAGGAAGGGATAATCTAAGCAGTGCAGTTACTGTCTAATCTCTCTTGTTAGATTCTTACTGCCTTTCCAGGACAGGCGGGGTTGAGGAGGTAGAGAAACCCTTGCCGCTGGGGACCGCCAAAAGGCAAGTGACCAAGGGCCACACAGGTCAGAAATTCTCCATCCAGTCTTAAAAAATATGTTTTTATTGATTTCAGAGAGAGTAAAGGAGAGGAGAGGAGAGATAGAAACAATAATGATGAAAGGGAATCATTGATTGGCTGTCTCCTGCACACCTACTACTGGGGATCAAGCTCTCAACCCAGGCATGTGCCCTGATTGGGAACCTAACTGTTGACATTCAACCACTGAGCCACACCTGCCAGGCTCCACCTAGTCTTGCCCTGCAGGACTGTGCCAGTGACAAGGTCGTTATTAGTGGTATAACCTGTCCTGCACCTGTGGCAGGGAGCTCTGTATAGAGGAGGCAAGTGGGGACAGGAGTCAAGGGCAGGCTCTGCTGCCTCCTGGAAGAGCCCAACTGGATTGAGAAGATTATATGCATGTCAGGGTGAGTGTGGAGCTATGAGGAAGGGCTACTTCTTATCTAAAGCTGGAACTTAACAGCCACTGAATGCCAGAAGACACAGCTCTAAAAATTCAGTTCGCAGAGTCTTTCTCAGCTTGATTATTGTTTAACAATTAGTGTCTTTGAGGGAAAAAAGAGAGATCCATAAAGGATCTTCTCCCCTAAAAGTCAAAACCAAAACCTCTCAAAATACAGTCTCTACTTTTCCAGGGGAATGGATTGTTTCTTGGATCTGTCACGGACTCCCCACCAGCCCAGATAAATGTGGGCAGGTCACACACTTCACTGTACATGTCATGCTTCACTCATCCTGCCTTGTCCGGGGGTGAAAGGTATACCTGAACAATTACTGGACAAAGATGTACAATGAAATGTACGTGCTGATCGTGCTTAATTTTTCCAAATACTGTTATTATTTTAACACAGAAAAAAAGTGCTAGCTCTGGCATTTGGTTTATATTTTCATAAATGGTGGAAACAACTGTCTGAGGTAAGCTGTTTGTCAATTTGGGTAGCACTACAGTAGGCGACCTGGATGGTCAAGTTCACTTAAAAATTTAGTCACCCAGCTCAGACACGGAAGAGTGGCAAATCTTCAGTAGCAACAAAATATTTAATATTTCTAAGACTATATGGAAAGTGTAAGCATTTTTAAAAACTAAATATTGAAATGTTAATAATTATCTTTAAATGGAAGACGTTTATATGACTTTTTCCTTTTATTACCTTTTGCATTTAAAAAATTTCTTACACTGATTACATGTTATTTTCATAATCACCTAATGCACTTTAAAAGTTTTGATTAACATCAAAATTAACATATGCAATTACAAATATAAAAATAATTTATACTGTATTCATTACATAGATTTAGTGTCCATGATCAGTTAATAGACTAACAGGAATAATTATCCCTAAATATCAGATTTACATGTGGAGAGCTGACTTGCATTTAAAAAAGGAACTATATTTCAGAACACACACTATCATTAACAGTTGTAGTTCATCACCTTTCTGCTGAGTCTGCGTTTAAGTTCCATTTTTGCTTCTTGTTCTTCCTCTTCATTCTTTTCTGCTTATTAGTGGAAGAGAAGACATGAAGACTTGGTTATTATAAGTGATTTTATAATCAGAAAAGTAGATCAGGCCACAATTATTTGACTTTAACAGCTATTGATCAAACATTCCAATAGTTTTAAAAAGTTATCAAAATACTTTGCAGAAAAATCAACCATTAAATTACATATATAATTATATTGCTTTGTATATGTATACTAGTACATGCATACATATATACATACAATATTTTTTTCCTTATATGACTGGCCTATTTACAAATTGTAAACCTTTTTTGCTTCCAGACTTCCTCTTATACTCTGAAAAACAACAACAAAAAACCCCACAAGAGTTCCCATCATCTAGTGAAAGCCTTTCATTGCTGATCATCTCACGGGCCTATAAGCACCGATGATCAGAATTCAGGGAAAAACTTATTTCTGGATCTGGCCTCCATGTGAAAATCCGAGACATATCAAAATAACAAATTAGAACCATCTGATGCATGTCTGACTTGCTGATTTTCATTCAAATCCAACCAAAATAGTTGATCTGTCTGTTTTGGTTTCCATAGAAGCAGAATGTAAGCATTTCCTTGGACGTTGCTTTGGAACCAGAATGCACTGAATGGGGTTATGGTGTACTGCTGGTGGAGATGATTTATTTTCTCATGACTTTGACTTTCCAGCGTCTCCTCTTCCTCTAGGGCTTTACCAAGCAGTACAACCTAATGGCCAACCTAAACGAATGCTGTCCAACAGATGGGATTAAGAGAAAAATGTCCAGAACTTTAAAGAAATAAATATCCCTTCAGGTTTTAATGGTTGCTTATTTGATGAATTTCTCTCCATAGTTTCCTGTAGCTCATCATTTGTTCAATAAGTGGGCACAGATTTTGCTTACTGGGTATTAATACTTACAAAATATTATCTTTTAGAAAGTTCTGTTATGAATTCTATGGAAGGAAAAATTACACTATATAAAAAGCTCAGCTAAAATGGTGAAAAGTCTCCTCTTTGAAAAAAATAATTATATTTTTAAATTTAAATATGCTTACCACTAAGATTATTTTTGTCGTTAATAAAATATTAGCATTCAATATTTGCAACATCTGAATTTGTTAGTTTAACATGCTAAATCTCTACTAATTTTCCTTATTTTGACAGGGAAAAGTTTCTACAGGCTTCTGAAACAATAACTTTAATTGATAAGAAAGAAAGATTAGCCTGCCTTTCAGACAGAGTGAACATAAACTGAAATCACCCTGCAGAATAGGAAACAACTAGTTACTGGTAGTATATTTCTATTGAGTGTCAAACAAATTTGGTTATAATTCAGATTTCTTCCCAGAAGTTACTATAGGTAGCCTTACAATGCATCCTTAGGGTAATATAATTTCCTTTTGTGAGCTGTATAAGGCATATGGATTGTATAGCCCAAACATCAAACTTACAGCTCATGCTATTCAAACTAGGATTTTACAAGATTAGGCTCCTGATGATATTATTAATAAAAAGAAAAATATAACCCTGAAACATTTTAGTCAATTCTTCCTATACAGTGATTATGCTGTGTTTTTAAAGGTAATTTTCAAAGATAAAAAATTGGGTATCTAATATAATTCAAAACTAAAAATATACAAAATGTCCTATCTTTGAAGGAATTATTAGATAATCTTGCCTTATTAAACAGGCAATTGTATATCTATGTGGCAACCAGTTAAGTTAAAAAAAAAAAAAAAGAAGAAGAAGAAGAAGAAGGGCCAATTGCAGTTAGGGGAGCTAAATAAACATGATTTTACCATTTGGATAATCTTTGTTTAACATCAGGAGCTGGCTTTCTTTAGTCCCCATATTTGAAATGAATGCTTCTAATGAAGTTAATGGAAGGGAGTTTTAGAGGTGAATCTTATTAAAATAGTCACTGTAAAAATCTCTTACGAAGAATCAAGATTAAATCTTAAACTTCATTTTAAAAAATGTACTGAGTTTTTTATTTTTATTTTTATGTTTCCTCCTTTCCTTTTAGATTTATTAGAGGGTAATTATAAAGTAGAATATAAACCTTTCTGGTCATTTGAAATGGGCTAGAGGAATATTCATGAAGGAAGTGATGTGACTCATTGACAAATCTTGCCCTCAGTAACTCTCATTAGAGCAGAGAGGGGCGGATATTTCAGAATAGCCACAGGAAGTATTTCCCATAAACACACAAGCAATACAGGAGGTTTGGGGGGTGGGGAGAGGGTGCACTACAGGAAAGCTACTTAGTTAGGAGTGCTGCCCGGAGCATTTTGTGGATGAACTGAAAGAACAAAGAGAAACTCGGAAATACCAGAGACTAGAGTATTATATTCTTGAGTCATCAATTCAGATAAAATGGAATTTTAAAAAGCCAAACATTTTTGTGGATTTGTTTCTCTTTTTATTGTTTTACTTGTTTCTGAATGGAAGTACATTTATAAACATACTTGAAATGCATCCTCCCTCCCCACAAAAGAGATAGGCAGATATGTGGTAAAGCAAGATTGATAAAGAAGATATCAATGGTAGAAAATAGAGGGTGGACATATAGGTATTTACTCTAAAATTCTTTCAACTTTTCTATATGATTAAAAAAGTTCACAGAAAATGGTTCATGCAGAACTCAATGGCCTAGTACATTTTTCCCCCTACAGAAGACACAGCTGGAATAACGGTCACAGCTAAATAGTATGTGGACTTTTATCTTTTATCCCTGCCCTGAAAAAGGTGTGCCATATATATCACTTTTTCTGCGGAGCAAAAGTTGACCTTTGAAGCACCAAAAAGTGCTTTCTATTTTAACAGTTTTAAAGAACTGGTTCTAAAATGTTCAACTAAATATAGCTTTATATGTATTTTTAAATGCTAGATTCACTAAAATGGGAAAGAAAGAAAACAGGTTGTGATACTGGGAATGAAACAGAAATGAAATTTGTCCTGTGTTCCAAACAGAGCTATCAGCATTGTCATCAGGTTCAGGTTTAGTGATGGACTCAGACTTGAGAACTGCGGAATGTTTTATTCTGTGAATTCATCCTTTAATTTGTCAAGAAAAAAAAAAGTGACCTAGTTAATAAATGTCCTTAAAAACCACACCATGTTACACCATAGACTTTTCTCCACATAGACACTCATACTGCTCTTGACCAAATGCTGGAGATGAAAGATATAAACAAACAAGAGCCATCTAAGTGGAAGAACCGAGAAACAAGCAGGGGCAGAATAACGTGTCATATGTATGCTCTGGATGATGTCCGCCAGTTCTCTTTTTTGCTTCCCTTGGCCATACAATATTATGTCAGGAGACCACCGCCAGTTATCTGCCTCCCCAGACTGCAAATGTGTCTTTTGTTTCCAGAAAAAGCATGCTTAAACAAACCAAAAAGGAAGTAAACAAGGGCTGAAGTCAGGCCTGAAGTTGACTTTGGCATTTCACTCTTTCCCGAACCTCCAGGAAAATGGGGGATAAAAGCCAACACAGCACTTAAGATCGATGTGCGATAAATTTCCAGATCTATCCCACCGTTCCTCAAACAACCAAACACCAGTGTGGTTTGGCACTATTTATCTCACAGGAGCTGGAACAAATTACCCAGAATTCGCTCTTCCTTTTTTTTCTAGGCATTGCATCAGGCGTCCAATAAGAAAGAATCTGTGTGTTAGGAGCTCATGATCTGCATTTGAGCTTACCTAAAAGTTAATTCAAATATTTTCAGGGAATCTGTTATCAAAAACTATGGATCTTTTTGGTTTGGTTTTGTTGCCAAAATTAGGTGTTGCTGCCATCCTATTTTAGAAAGCTAAGACCTACTTTTTTTTTTTTTTTCTTTTTCTTTTCTAGCCTTGACTTTTTTCCTCTCCAAACTGGCTCTTGTATACATTGATGGTTGCTTAAATCCTTTCTTGAGTTCTATCCCAGTTATACTCACAATGAGCCAGAAAAAAGAAAACGATTCCAAGGGAAAAAAATCCCTGGCGATTCCTCTCTGTTTTCAGTCCTCGTTGAACTGTCTTAGTTTAACTGTACTATTAAAACCCTACTTTCCCTCAGAAAAGAATAGGATTCAGATTGGAGAATGGGGATGATCCAGATAGGCCAACTTGACCCTAAAAGTCTCGGTAAAAACATTCAGCGCATGCCAGTGGCCCGTTACTACTGTAGTACTCTATCTGGAGCTCAGCCCATCCCTGCTTTTTGATATTTCATACAACAAAAAGCTCTTTTGAAACTGGGTTAATGACATATAAAATGGCAGTGGCTGAATTTAAAAATATCCATTACTTAACTCACTGTAGTTAGAAACCACATTAATACACTGTGGCACGACAAACTGCTTCCATTCGTCTTATAGCTTTAACATATGAGCTGTAATAATTTAAATACGACTGGACTGGTGAGTGAAAAGTCAAGTCAAAGAAAACAGAGGAAAAAAATTGGAAAATGAATGGAAAACTCAGTAAGTGCTGAGAAATTATAAATAACTGAAGAGGGAAACAGAGTTATCATAACAAAGGAAAATGAAATGGATTGAAATGAAATAGATTGAAAAATTGCTTTGACCATGAGTCTGTTTTAAATCGAGTCGTTTGTTAAACCTGGCAACAAATTGTATTATTAAGAATAATATAGGAATGTTTGATTCATTTCCTTGTGGATTTTCTGGCCTTTTCTTTGACATGTACATATTTGCAAGCAGACTAGAGCACTTTCTTTTATTTAATAGTTAAGTGAAAGAATAGATGGAATATATTTCATCTTAAAAACAACTGTCACAACCATGTCTCTGGTCTGGGGGATATCAGGCTCAAAGCCATAAAATGAAATACAAATGTCAAGAAATTATTTTTAAAATTATATACACCATGACACATAAATGTGATATGAATGGGCCATTTCAGCCTTTTATGAATAAATATATATTGGTTTCCTATTGATAAACGAATCATCTCTAGCTTGTTAATGGTTAGACAAGGAATCACTGTACAGTGCAGGATACTCACGTTTTAGGATGTTTCTTTGCTCTAATTCTTCAGTTGTGGGCCTCTGGCTCAGTCTCCTATGATGACAAAAAAGATATACTGCAGGTTACAAACAAGGCCCCTTTAGTGGGAGACAAAGTAAAACAACAAACAAAGCTATGGTTTTTCATGTTTTGAGAAACAGAAATTAATTTTTAAACCTACCAAAGTGTCCTTTCTGTTAGTTTGGAGACTAGAGATTGTGGCTGAGACTGCTAACTAACCCCTATTGTTCTCTCTCTTCCTTTCAGAAACAGAACTCCTTAAAAGCTTTAACTATAACCCCATATTGCCCCATCTCCCCCAGCTATAGCTTTCTGTCACCCGAGCAGCACCATGTGGCTATATGACCAAGTTCTTGCAATGGGTTGTGAGCAGAAATGGTGTTTGGAATTTCTACTGTTTTCCCTTCTCTGCCTTTCCTTCTTCCATTTAAATATGGTCAGTGAATGAAACTAGATCACCAACTTACACCATACATAAAAATAAACTCAAAATGGATACAGGACTTAAACATAAGACAGGAAACCATAAAAATACTAGAGACATCCACAGGAAGCAAAATCTCAGACATATGCCAAAAGAACTTCTTCACTGATACTGTCCCTAGGGCAATGAAAGCTAAAAAGAAAATAAACAAATGGGACTACATCAAAATAAAAAGCTTTTTTACAGCAAAAGAAACCATCAACAAAACAACAAGAAAGCCCACTGTATGGGAGAACATATTTGCAAATATTATCACTAATAAAGGTTTAATCTCCAACATCTACAGACAGCTTATACAACTTAATAAAAGGAAGATAAATGACCCAATTAAAAAATGGGCAATGGATCAAATAGAATCTTCTCAAAAGAAGACAGAAGGAAGGCCAAGAGGCACATGAAAACATGCTCAAGTCACTAATTATTCGAGAGATGCGAATCAAAACAACAATGCGGTACCATCTCACACCTGTCAGAATGGCCAACAGCAACAAATCAACAAATGACAAGTGTTGGTGAGGTTGCAGAGAAAAGGGAACCCTCGTGCACTGCTGGTGGGAATGTAGACTGGTGCAACCACTGTGGAGAACAGTATGGAGCTTCCTCAAAAAACTGAAAATAGAACTCCCATTTGACCCAGTAATCCTACTCCTAGGAATATAGCCCAAGAAACTGGAAACACCAATCAGAAAGGATATATGCACCCCTATGTTCATAGCAGCAAAATCTACAATAGCTAGGATTTGGAAACAGTCTAGGTGCCCATCAGCAGATGATTGGATCTAAAAACTATGGTACATCTACACAATGGAATATTATGCTGCCATAAAAAAGAAGAAATTCTCATCATTTGCAGCAACCTGGATGGAATTGGAGAACATGATGCTGAATGAAATAAGCCAGTCAATGAAAGAGAAACACCACATGACCTCACTCATTTATGGATGATAAAGAACATTATAAACTGAAGAACCAAAAGATAGATATAGAGACAGTAAAGCAACAAGCAGACTGTCAAATTACAGCAGGGAGGGTAGGGAGATCTGGGATAGATAAGAGATCAACTGAAGGACTTGTATACATGCATATAAGTACAACCAATGGACACAAAACTCTGGGGAGGAAGGACATGTATGGGAGGAGGGGGGCAATGGTATATGTACACAGATAATAATTTTTTAAAATATATTTTTGATTTTTTTACAGAGAGGAAGAAAGTGGGATAGAGAGTTAGAAACATCGATGAGAGAGAATCATCGATCAGCTGCCTCTTGCACACCCCCTACTGGGGATGTGCCCGCAACCAAGGTACATGCCCTTGACGGGAATCGAACCCGGGACCTTTCAGTCTGCAGGCCGATGCTCTATCCACTGAGCCAAACCGGTTTCGGCCACAGATAATAATTTAATAAAAAAATAATAAATAAAATTTAAAAAAAGAAATTCCATAAGCAAAATTAAGACAAAAATAATAAATAAATAAATAAATAAATAAATAAATAAATAAATAAGGTCAGTGAGTCACTGGGAACATGTAGATGGAATACCCATGGGGAAGGAAGAACAACAGGACAGAAGGAACCTGGGTGCCTGGCTGACTGCAAGGAGCAATGCTCCCAGCTGTGCTGGACAGCCCACCTACCTCTGGACTGTTACATGAAAAAGAAATAAATACGTGGAAATCTTTGGACCACTGCACATCTCAGTCTCTGTTACAGCAGCTTAGCCTTTTTCCTAATTCATACATAGTCATTCGGATCTAAAAAAGACTACCGCCTGAGAGTGCATATCAACTTGGGAGATAACCAACCTACACTTCATAGTGTTTTAAGTGAAATACTGCTTTTGTGACCTCAGTGAATTGCAAATATATATATACGGGTGATTCTCTTGAGATACCGAGGCCCTTCCCATTTGCCCTCAAGACAAGCCAGGCCCATTGGTGGTTAGGGGCTAACTCGCACACAAGAGCGTAATGTCCTGTGAACCCTTTCGAACTTTGTTCTGGGTCTTGTTTACATTATTAATTTGTTGTTAATCACAGACAAAAACTTCCTCTGGATGTAGGCTGAGTGTGTGCAAATTAATATCCATGAAAGGTAAATTTTAATATAGATACTATCAATTCTAAGTTTTTATGGCTGTGATAGAAATTATTGAAATCAATAATATTTTAAATATCTCATTGAAATTTTTGTTCAAGTTTAATCTCCATCAAAGCTCCCTTGAAATTAACTTAATTGTGACCATCTATGCCAGCCTGAAGCTATGCCATCCGTGTACCTATGTATCCTATGTGATATATCCCTACTATGTCATTCCCCAAACACATCCTTTCTTTGTTTATGAAGTTTCCTCCTCTTTCTTTCTTTCTTTCTTTCTTTCTTTCTTTCTTTCTTTCTTTCTTTCTTTCTTTCTTTCTTCTTTCTTTCTTCCTTTCTTTTTTTAAATATATATATATTTTTTATTGATTTTTTTTTTTTTTAACAGAGAGGAAAGGAGAGGGATAGAGAGTTAGAAACATCAATTAGTTTGGGATGTGCCCATAGCCAAGGTACAGGCCCTTGACTGGAATCGAAGCTGGAATCCTTCAGTCTGCAGGCCAAAGCTCTATCTACTGAGCCAAACCAGTCAGGGCTCCTCCCTTTTCTTCTTCTTCAACTATTGATATCTTATAAATGATTAATACAGTACCTTGAAGGTGGGTGCCCGGATTCTTCTGACAATGTGAACTAACGGTTCCTGGTTCTTTGCCCCTACCCACCACTTATAGATCCTGCTCTGGTCTCACAATCTGTCCCCTTCCCCTGGCTAATGCATCCTGTGGTGTATGCAGGATGGGAGAAGTCAGAAAAGTGACTGGTACTTAAACTGCTAAAAACTTGAAAGCTTCAGCACTCATTTCTATTAAAATTGCCAGTTCAATGGACTTCCTATGTCACTAGTGGCAGAAATAAAAATCATCAAAAGCTGGATGCAGGAAGAGAAGTCAGATGACCTTTTTTTATTTGAAGTTAAAGGAGGGAACTTCCGACATCAGGGCCGTGGTACCTGGCCTGGATGCAGCTGACTGTTGCAGCTAACTACTACTTCCACAGTCTCATAGCCCAGGACAGAGTCGCCTGGAAATCCCAGGAACACTGGTGAGTCCGTGGACGAGGCTGCCTCCTGTTTTGATGAATAATGCTGCAGTGGGACACTTGCATGTTTATGCTTTGCTTATGGCCGCTCTTGCTGAGCAGCTGCAGCAGAGACCTTCTGGCCAGCAAAGCCCAAACTATTTACCAACTGGTCCTTTACAGAAAAAGTCTGTCAACAATTGGGTGAGGCTTTGGTCACCTCAAAGCCACTTACCGGCTGGACCGAAGCACAAGTTCTTTGAATGCTTCACCATCCAGGACCAACTTTAAAAGACCAGCTAGGCCGGCTATGCCGTTATACAAGCCATTCACAATGACCTAGGTTGGAAACCGCAGGATGGGGAAAGTATGGGTGCATTGGTGCTGTACTAAAATTGCAGCTGTTACCTGACTAGCTTGGTTCCAATCTGCTGTCGGATCTCCTGCCTCTCTTCTTCAGATGTCCGCTGCAAGATGTTCTTGTCCTCTAATTCTTTTTTGGACGGTCTGTTGCCCAGTTTGATAGCAAGAGTATCCCTTCGTCGGATTTTACTTGCCAAAGCACCTGAGATTGGAAAAGGCAGAAATGCAGTAAAGGAGCCTGTTAGCTGGCACCACTCAGGTTACGGGGGCATGGACTTCAAACTGAGTCCAGACCACATTCTGGGTCCACATGCAGCAGGGGAATTTTAATTGGCCTTGGAGTGAGGAGAAGTGTGTGTGTGTGGGGGGACTTTTTAGTTGGATGTAGTTCATTTTGAAAAACTGGATAACTATTTTTAAAAACGTTCAGGAAAATGTTGGGGCCCCATGAAAGACTTGGAAGTATCACTTCATCATTTGGAAAGTGGTATTTGAAGTTTATTTTGCTGAGATGGTGAATCATGGAAACTACGGATTGCATAATGCCTTCCCTTTCTCAAGTCTAAAAACGCAGCCCCTTTAGTACACTGTACAGGAAATCCTTGTATTTCCCCCTTCCTCCACTCAGAAACCACTCTGGCAAAAGTCTACGCTTATACTAAAGTTTTAATCCTAAATTACCCCAGAGATCCCTGACAGCTCCACAGATGATAGTTAATATCAGATCGATGATAATGTTTGCTGTTGTTCAGTACAAATGGAAAGAAATTTGACAAGCTGATGTTTCATCATTAACATGCTAATAACTTTCCATAATCTATGAATTTAATTCAGAAATCCCTCCTAAATCATCCTGCTTAGAAAATTTTTAAAAAATACCACTTTCCAGTTCCCTCATTTACACATAAATGGTTGGCTTTCTCCACTTTACTAGCATTCCTTCCTAGAAGGCGCACAGTCTTAGCGTGGAGGAGTGATTGTTTTTAATTCTTAAGAGGTATGTGTCATTTTTTTACTCATTTCTCCCTCCCTTCTCCTTAAACTGCAGCATAAAAAAAAAAAGTGAAATTCTCAATCATTTCCTATGTGTAATCCAGGGAATCCTGCATTGATGCTCTTTATTCAAGAAAGGTCCCAGCAAAGGGCTGACTTGGATCATCCTGAGAACCGCCTCCATCCTCAGGAAGCTTTGACTCTTGGGACAAATATGAATGTGTGTATCTATGCCCTATTGCCCATCCCGCAAGGAATCCTCTTTTGGAAAGGCCTTTCATCAGAAGCTACACCTCAGGATATACACAGTTCTAATTTGAGAAAGAAATATGAGGGAAAAAAGAACACCAGCTGTTTGGTTCTTGGTGAGGCTTCTGTTCTTTATAAAACGCCGCTGCTTCTGCCCACCACCCTCTTCCCTCCCTACCTCTTGAGAAAAAGTCTTACTGTCTCCACTGCCGTCCTCATCTTCATCCTCTTCATCATCATCGTCAGTGTACAAGATAGGCCCATCAGAGTCCGAATCAGTAGCCCGGTATTCCCTTTGGCCTTCGTCCTCTGGGGCACTGAAGGATTCTGAGGATTCTCCCATCAGCCCAGGAGCCAGTAACTGAGATGCTGCCTTTCCCAGCTCATCTTTGGTTGTGAAACTGTCAAAAGCACAGAAACACAGGGGTGGTAAAGCTCAGAGCAACCCTCGGGGACACCGCCAACACCATGAGAAGGAGTGCTTGTTGTGTGAGCATCCTTTAGGCTGGAGCAGGGAAAAGCAGGTACTGGCCAGCCACTGAAATGCAAGACCAGGGTGCATTACTTAATCCTCAAAGTTTTAGATTCTTCATCTGTAAAATGAAAGGATAGACTAGCTGGTGTCTGATATAGTTAGTACATGAATATGGTAAAACTATTTTGCAAATTAATTTTTCCCATAGCAATAGGGGTTCCGTGGAAAGAACAATGGTCTAGGAGCTCCAAAGTACCTGACTTAGTACTTTTTCTCTCTGTGCTTAATTTCTTCATTTCTAAACTTGCCTTCTTAAGAATATATTAACAACACAAGATGCAATGTGTGGTAGTTAAGTGGACTTTTTAGGAGAAATTTATGTCTAAGGATGTAATCTCTCTCTCTTTTTTTTTTTATTATTGAGCTTGGTAAGACTTTCTGGTTTAAAGTGCATATGTACAATGGATATTACTCAGCCATAAGCAAGAATGAACTCTTACTATTTGCAATTACAGGCATGGACCAAGGTCAAGCATGTCAAACTCACTGCCCATGGGCCACATGCCTCAGTTATTCGGCTCATGTTAGCCTTTGAGTTTGACATGACTGACCTAGAGGATATTATGCTAAGTGAAATAAGTCAACAGATATCATATGATTTCATTTATATGTGGAATCTAAAAAGAACCATAATTAACAAACAAAGTAGAAACAGATGCATAGACACAGAACAAACTGAAGGTTGGTTGCCAGAAAGGAGGGGGGTGGAAGGCTGGGTGAAAAAGGTAAGGGACTAAGTACAAACTGGTAGTTACAAATACTCACAGGGATATAGAGTACACATGGGGAATATAATCAATAATATTGTAATAACTATGCATGGTTATTTGAAATATGGGGGACCGCTTTGTAAAGTATGATTGTCTAACCAATATGCTATACACCTGAAACTAATATAATACTGAATGTCAATATAATTTAAAAATAAAATATAGTTACTATAAATATAAAATGCCTTTAAATTTTCATAGACTAGAATAAAAATATATACTTTACATAAAAATTATATAGAAAACAATATAATCTTCATTTTAAGATACAGAAGATCCTCAAATCACTTTCTGATATAAACAGAAGATCCCAAATTTAGGTGTCACACTTCTGCAAGACTGTGTAGTGGAAAACATGTGCTTGCTATTCTCAATAACCAAAAAAAGCCAAAACCAGTTCTTTGTATAATAAAAACAAGTAAACTTTGTCAGAGTCAGAGATATTGAAAATTTTTTGAGGTTACAAGCCTAGGTGTTTTTGAAAAGTCTCTATTTTTTACATATTAGAAAAATCCAGAATTCTTGTTTTCCAAAGGGGAAATAGAAATTTTCATTTTTTATTACATAAAATATACATGCCATAAAATTTAACATTTTATTCATTTTTAAGTTCAGTAGCATTAAATATATTCATATTGTTATAAAACCACCACCACCATCTATCTCCAGAACTTTTTCAACTTCCCAAATGGAAATTCTGTACCCATTAAATAATAACTTCCTATTGTCCCCCTCAGCCCCTGGCAGCTACCATTCTACTTCCTGTCTTTATGAAATTTACTATTCTAGGTGCTTCATATAGTTGAAATTATACATTTACCCTTTTGTGTCTGATCTACTTCAGTTAGTATGTCTTTAAGATTTATCCATTTGGTAGCACATGTCAAAATTTCCTTCCTTTTTTAAGATTGAATCATATTCCATTGTATGTATATGCTACATTTTTGGTTATCCATTCATCAGCTGACAAACATTTGGGTTGTCTTTACTTTTTGATTGCTGTGAATAATACTGCTGTGGACCTCAGTGTACAAATGACTTGCTTTTAATCCTGTTGGCAATATACACAGAAGTAAAATTACAGGGCCACATGGCAATTCTATGTTTAATCTTTTGAGGAACCACCATACTGTTTCCATAGTGTGAAATCCCATTTTAAATGGGGGAATATTTATTTTATGGGAAAGCTTTTCCGTAGTCTGGATTTCTAGTTGATTGCCACTGGAGGCCATTCTCATTTTCAACTGTGGGTGACCACAGCCCATTTAAAAGATGTGCCAATTAATAACGCATTCTGAAGAACAGAACAAAAGATACTTCAGGATTAAGCCCTACTATTTATTCATTCATTAATTTATGTTATCAATTATTATTTTAACCACCCTTGTATTTTATAATGTTTTATATTTCCAAAGACTTCTGCATACATTTATAACTTACAACTGTTCTAGAGCATAAGAAGGGCAGATGATTTATAGTTCATGGAACTTAGGAGGGCCATGAGTGAATTGCCCAACCATGGAAGCAAGTCCAGTCTAGAACCCAGACTTCAGTTTCAGTCTACTTATTAAATGTTATGCTATATGATATTTTATTTATGCTTAGTATTATAAGTTATAATATTATATTATGGGTTATATTATTATGATCTCTGAATGCATAATAACCTGGCCACTCAGTGTATATCCTATATAATAAAAGGCTAATACGCAAATTGTCCCCTCGACCAGGAGTTTGAGCAGCAGGCAGGCCAGCCAACCATCCATGTCCCCTCCCAATGGCCAGGCTGGCCAGACCCACCCATGCACGAATTCATGTACCGGGCTTCTAATACACACACACACACACACACACACACACACACACACACACACACACACACACACTGAGTGGCCAGATTACTATGTGTTCAGAGATTTTAATAATCTGGCCACTCGGTGTATACTCCAAATTTATATCAGTCAACTCGTGATTTGGCTTTTACATTATTTGGAGACCCCTGGGCACATTAGACAATACAGTGCATATGAATGTTTGTGGAAATGGACTAAACAGATTCAAGTCCCTATGAATATAAGCTCCAGATGGGCTTATTAGTTTCTGCCTTCAGTTATATCAGACATACACGGTCCTGTTGAAGCTGCCAGTGAAGGGAAATCTACCAAACAGTTACCACCCTGCAATGTATGAACAGAAGTAGGTATTTTTACACATGGCCACTTGTCCTCTTTAAAGTTCTGATATTTGTATTCCAAACAGAAGCCCCTTCATAAGACGACAGGATTTCACACATTCGTTGACTAAACATAACCGGGGGAGAGTTCTAAGTAAAGCAAGTGACTAAGAGCCAGAAATTCAAATTCCGATATCCGCTTAAAAACAGAAGAAGGAATTTGGAAGGAAATTTGGGAGACTACTTCTTTCAGGCTCATTAACTCGAGAGCAAATGCAAACCATCCCTGTGGGATGAACTGTAATTTAACGTTATTTTGAAGAACATACGAAGAAGAAAATCTCTCTGCTCTCTTCTAGGAAAGCAGGGTAGTTACCCTGAGTGACAGGAAAACCTATTATGCAAACCCCAATGGCTCGTTATGTCCTAAGTTCACTTTGTCTGATCACAGTCCCAGTGGAAATGGAGAGCAGATGCTCAGCTCTCTTGTCTGAAAGTCCTGCAAGTTCTTGGGCTGAAGCCTGAGATAGCTCCCAGCACGCAGCATGGTGCTTCACACAGCACAGTGTCCTCCCTAAATGTTTGTGGAAGTGAGCTGGACAGTCAGAACACCTCTAGATATGGGCCCTCTCAGTTTGAAGACCACTTAAGGAATCACTTTATAGATTGCATCTTGTACTGAAAAATAAACACATAACTCTATTATTTCCCTACTTCCTGACCATGTTGGATATCCTTTTGGTAAGAAGTAGTGTTAAATATAATGTCTTGCTCACTTTTGTATCTTTGGTGCTTGGTACACTGCCCAGCACACAGAAGGCAAGCAAAAACATATGCTGAAAGGAGGACTGTGTAGGTCTGAAGGTTGGAATTGATGCTGGAAAACACTCACTATAAATAAAGACATTTACTAAGTGCTGGAAGTACTAGGGATACCATAACTGCTCATCTCAACATCTTCTGTTCCCATAGCATTTAGTAGCAAGTCAAACAAAGAAAGTAATTTGCAATTTAACGTTTATTTATCATTCCTTGGCTTTCCTTTGAATGATGGTGCTCAAGATGATAAAACAAACAAACAAGAAAAATTAAGAATGAACTCATTAAAAAAAAGCAGAAGAAGTGGAAGCAACTACTTTGGAAGTTTATAAAATTACTTAAGGCATGGAATGTGTTGTGCAATCCTGGGTCTATACTTAGCTCTGCCACTGACTACCTGGGTAATCTTGGGCAAACTATTTTATTTCTCTGTTTTCTCACATATGAAACAGAAATATTTCAGGGCAGCTTAGGTGGATTAAGTTCCTGACATTAATAGGCATTCAATCGATGAAGGTTATTATTATTATCAGTAACTGAGTAAAGTTAATATGTTAGTCTACTGATTCAAATTGATGTTTTAAAACATGATTAAGTTTTCTTTTTGAAAGAGGAAATATTAAATTAAGTGATTTGAAGAGTAAATTTGGTTTTATTCTTAAAACAATAGAAAAGAGGCTGGATCTAAGAGATCTAAGCCTTCACTAAACAGTATTGGTGTCCACTATACTGTGGCAGCCCGTAGGGCAGGACAGCTTAGTTACCTTTAAGTAGAACATATACAGGACTCTGTGAATAATTAGACACAGTGAACAGAGGAGGAGGAGGACCCTAGGATGAATTCCAGGTTTCTGGCTTGGACAACTAGATGAAGGCATGCCTGTGGCATACCAGCTTCTGCACTGGTTGCTGGGATACTGAGGTAAATAAGATATGTGTTGGTTAATTCTGTCCCAGCGTTAGGAAAAAGCGTTGTCAGAGTAGAGTAGAGGCAATAACCAAATCTGTCTGGATGAGCATCGAAAGGCTCCACAGAGGAGATAACATTTGGTTGGGTGGGGTGTTAAAGAAACAGAGACACTGTGACTTTGGAAAGAGTTGGAATTTGATGGGGTTCTTTACTGATGGCTTTTATTTTCCCAGAGGAGACGGCTAAATAACTTGTTGAAATGAAGGTAGGCAGGAGTAGGTGAGCAACCTAGACAAGTGGTAAAGACTTAACAATAACTGCTGCAAGGAAAGCGAAGGGAACAGCTTAGGGAAGAGAAAAGGAATGCTGAGGAGTGATGAGGCAGCTCTAAATGTACTCAAAAGGCCCAAGTCACTGTCCCCAGCCCATGGCCTTTCTGGGACAGGACTATGCAAAACCAATGGCTGGATGACACGTGTTGATCTCAAATCACCAGATTAAAGTATTAAAAACAAAACAAAACAAAGTAGGTTCCCTCGTTTCCAATAGAATGGTTTAGTGATCTTTAGTTCTCAGCTTGGGTGGGGGAAAGCAGAAGGGATATAGGGTTGCGGTCCCGACTCACCATTTTGTGTTTTCTCTGCTAACACTGAGGCCAGTGCCTGAGTGGACAGTGGTTGTGTTTGTCAGCTCTTCAGTCCAGAGAAGCTCACTGGCTTCTAAGGTGGGATCGGGCAGGTCGGCTCCATCGCTGACCACGACAATAGGAGTGTCTGCTGCAAAAACACATGGTTCCTCCAGAACAAGATGCGGGATGGGGGGAGGAGGGGGTGGGCTCACAGGCGGTGGAGGGACTGCAGACTTGGATTTGCCTGTACTCGGCTCCTCCGTCTCAGGGCCCGTTGGCTCAGTTTTGAGACTCTCCACCTTGGCTTCCGAAGGCTCTCCTTTAAGGTCGGACGTACCAGCGGTGGTTGCATCTGAGGACGGCCGAGGCATGGGCCGCTTGCCAGTTTTTTTCTTGCCCTTTGTGGTTCCCACTGTCCCTGTTTTGCTAGAAACTGTCTCCTTTGAAGTTTTGAGAAAAGACGAAGAAGTAGATGGTGACGCTGATGCTTTGGAGCCCGTAGTCTTTTTGGAATGAGAGGAACCAGCTAAAATAGAGAGATTTTGCATTAAAAGTTAGAGAAGGCAACACTTTCAAAATAAGCTACCCGGGCTACAATGGTCAATACAACATTCCCTTTAAAATTTTTAAATGTCTTGAAAAAAAAAATGACTAAAAGAAAATGATAATGGTTCTGTGTCCTGCCCTCTCCCTGTCTCCAATCAAAGAGGGAGTAAGTGATGCTTGAGGCAACACCCAAAGAGATAAGGGTCCTCTGTTCCCCCCTGCTCTAGTCTTTACTTGGGCCAGCCAAAGGGAGTCCCCAGCTCCTTGTCCTTTGGGTGACCCGAAAAAGCCCCCACATGCTCCAAAGTAGGGACCCTATTCATGTACAGAGGACAGACACCAGCAGTTGTCGGGGGGTAGAACGATGAGCTCATCACAAGTGATGCATGTTCTATGGTGTTTTTCTGACAATGGAGTAGCCCACATTCAGAAGAGGCCTGGGTATATACCACCAGCTCCTTTCTGGGGCAAAAGCAAACGTTCTCATCTTAACTGCTAAGAGAATGAACTCTAACCCAGCTCTCCGCACGGCCCCAACAAGAAGCCTGCCGTGCTGGCCCATGTCTCTATGGGCAATGATGATGGACAGAGTGAAAGCACATGCCACGTGTAAAAGGCAAGTCTCCTGCGAAATATCAAAGGCAGAAGCATTTCTTTTCTATAATAAAAAGTCTAGGTGGGTACTATTTGAATAATTTGAAGAAAAAGAGTACCATTGGATCTTCTGACAACTGCTTATGTTCCTCTGGAGACTTTGTCAGTGGTGTGTTTGCTTACTTCTGGATAGAGCTGCCATTATTTAACCAAACCATTTTCAGGAAAAGAAAGGTTAGGTCTCCTTTTCTTTATATGATCTTAGGAAATACAGCTAGACTCCCATGAGAACACACTTTTGTTTCATGAGCTCTAGGACCTATACATTTTCTCCTAGTTGCTTTTTCTGTTAGAATGTTGTATGCCCCTACTTTTTCATGAGGGGTTAAACTGCCTTCCACAGAGCCATCAGAGAATATCTGGTTAGTATTGTGAAGCCAATCTGAATTGGACTCAGATGTTATTGTAACTTACCTCTGGTTATAACCTTATTGAAGTCAATTGGGAGGGTCCCGAGATGAGGTACAAATAAAGGAATAGACAATGAGATGGAAGACTTCACCAATTCTGATATACTACAGGAAGCCTGGTGACAAGATCCAGGCTTCCCAGAAGTCTCTATCGCTTGGGCTTTATTATTTTAGACATACACAATAACCAGTACCCCCCTCCTCCAACTCTAGCCTGTCAATATATACATATATTTTCATCGTTAGTTCTCTATTATAGACTGGTAAGTGGGACAGTGTGCCTGTAGCCAGCCAGCCGTGGTTAATCCTACTTTTTTGAAGTTAGCAATCTTCACTTGTTTAGAAGACAAATTAAGCAAATTCCTGCAATTTAAGTCCATTCTAAATTTATTTTTCACAACAAATATGGTAAGGATTTGATGTCTAAATGTGTTCGATTATTTTCTTAGGTAAATTAAACATAATCCTTTCCACATAGCAATTCCAACAGGACTTTGTTGAAATCAGCCATGTTGCTTAAGTCACCTTGAGTGAAGGCCATGACCAAAAAGAAATGCCACCTCTCCCGTTAACCGCTTTCGTTATCACAGAGCATGACACTGTATCAGAAAGAATACCAAATAGGAGATTTTGCCTTATTTCATGGGCAATGTCGCTGACTGTGCCGAACAGATCTCTGATCATATGGAGGTGTATACTAAATAGGTAATAAAAGAGGAATCTTAACCAATAGCTTTCCTTGAGAACTCAAAACATCTCAAGAACAGCATTTGAGGTAACTTTCCAAAAGGTCAACGTTATTCAAGTGAAATAATTACCATGTACAAATTCTAAATTGTTACAAATAGAATATCAGCTGGATTCCGATGGAGTGTTATCAATATCTGATGAAAGGATCCTTGTATGATGGACTTGATAGTATACTTCAATGCAACCATTTCTCTGTGGCAGCCCCACAGCAACATTTTCATATACACTGTGGACCAGTCGGGCCTCTTCAAATATAATGGACAACATGACTGTACGATTCTCTTAGGGACATCATGAGTCTGTAAATAAATCTTCAAGTAATAAAATATCTGGAAACAACTCAAAAATCTTTCAGGGAATTTGTCCCTTGCCCTGGCATTAATCTGCTTTCTTCTGAGAGAAGGAAGATGAAGTGCAAGCCACGCCCATAGTGAGCTACTACCACGTGGGATATGAGTAAGAAGCAAGGAAGGCTTGTGTAAGGTGGGTCTTAATTCTCAAGGACTGGCCGCCAGTTGGGAGCTTTTCTTGAAGAAGTGGATCAGAGCCTGTATCACATCAGGCTGATCCTAGGTGTGCTGGGCAATCTGAAAAATACAGATGCCAATAAGAATGGATGCTGACATGTGAAGGCAGCTGGCCCCTCAGCAAAGGGCATGAACGCATTATTGGCAGGGCATTTGAAGATATTTCACTTTAGCCCTCATTAGAAGAGACCCAGACAGTAAGGTCAAAGGCCGAAGAGAGGGACACAAGGAAGGAGACTTCTATCTACATTGAGAGATCTGTCGTACCATCAACTAAGCCACTCTCCAAACTTGAGCATTACAGGTATGACTTACAAAGGGAAAAAGATCAACAACAAGGCAAATCATGGTAGCTGATTGTAAGAACATTGCTGCTGATTTTAGGGAAAATAAGGTTTGCTAAAAGACAGCACTTTTACGCACGTGTTACCGGCAAAAAGCTACCTAGCACGTGTACTTTGATTAATGTCTTTTAAAAGCTGGGTGGCATGGTGGGCTTCCTTATCCACATCACTGGAAGATGGGTGCTCCCTTTGGGTTAAGGATATCTTTGCACATCCCTTGGTGATTTGCAATATTGACTTGTAACCACACAGTAGGATGCTTTCCTTCTAACGGATTGAAGCCTTTTGTTTGGGGGGAGGGGAAGCTCTGAGCATGTAACTTTCAACTCTGCTAAAACAGTAATGACTCAATAGAGAGTGGTGGGCTGACCCAACCTTTGTCATTTATGAATAGAGAAATGATTAGGTACATGGACAGATTTAAGCCAATACAATACAGCAAATATGTCAAAGATGCAGTGCCACATTTTTCTGTGCAAACCTAAGACATTTTGAAAGAAAACCCACGCCAAAAATCTACCCATAAATTCAAACAGGCAGAAGGCCAGATGATGTGTAAATAATGTCATAGAAGATCATCGCCATTCACCAGGCACACTGCTTTCCTGTTTCTTTCTAAAGGTCCTCATGTAGATAAGTGGCTACTCAGGATGAAAGAGGTCTATTCACCCCCAAACTAATGAGGTCAACTAATCAACTGGTCAACTTTCTTCTGGTGGAGATAGCAACAAAGGAAATCTCCTGGGTATTCTCGGTGTCAAAGCTAAACCCACTGGTGTACTACCCTAAGACACCAGACATCCAAAGGCCACCATCCAAATCAGCCCCACCCCAGAGCCGAGCACCCTAGACTCAACCCCACTGGGGGCATACTTACCAGCCTCTCGGGTCGTGCTTCGGCCTGTTGGCTTGGGTGGAGGGATGGGGGCCTGTTTACCAGAAGCCTTGGTATGTTTTTTAATAGGAGGCACTTCGTCACCCTTGGGGCTGGCCCCAGCAGCAGCCCCTTTTGGAGGCACAGGTGTTTTGGGGGGCTTAGGTTTGGGTTTAGGCTTAGGAAGAGTTGAAGGAGGCGGAGCAGGAGCTGCCGGTGTTTCAGAGTGGTTTTCAGTGTTCTCTACAAATGAGAAAGTGAACAGAAGCAGACTGATACAGACACACACCATATATGTTAGCAGGAGCGAGACACACGGCGACAGCGATACAAACATGCGGCTGCTTGGCCCTTGGGATCCAGGGTGGCGTCCTGCACCAGAGAGAGCAATGTTTGGGGTCAGAACAAAGGCTGAAAGCCAAACCAGGCTGCGTTGCCTGGGGCCATGAATCACTCCTGTGATAAAACAGGGTTGCACAAGTTACGTTGATGAAGTTACGTTCAGGATGAATATAAATGTTCATCCAGCCTTGAATCGGTGGCTGCTGGATGATGGCGTGAGCATGACCGCTACACTGAATTTCACAAAATTGAAGGGCTCCGAGAGTGACTGATCAGCACGTTACACACACCACCGCCACGGGGTGTGGGCCACAGTTACCTTCGTCCCCTTGCTGTTAGAACTTAACACCCATCAACCAGATGGGTTGTGCTGTGTCTTACTGGAGTCAAAACCCAATAACTTTTTAAGCTAGGGGAGCCTCTGTGGGACCCTTTTCAGGAAGCACAATGCACCGAAGGATGAACTGTTTTCTCAAGCTCTCCTGGTACAGTCGGGCGGCTTCCTGTCTTACAACAGCTTCCTCTCTGCTAACAGGGCCGCAACTACAGGGACAGAATCCAAAAAATACCAAGCTTGTTTTGTGATGTAAAAACACACGTAACAACTTTGAAAAGACAAGGGTTAAACTTTATATCTAAGAATATGAACCTCTCACAAGGTTTTGCCTAGCTGAAGGAGAAATAGTATTTTTCTCTCATTATTGAAAGTGGAGATATGGAATGTTCATTCATATAGTCGCATACATATTTTTTTTCCTAATAGTGATTGATTGACATGAAAATACAGTTCTGGTCCAAAGAGCTAAGCAGCATTTCTCTATACATAGAGTACAATAAGAAAAACGTAGGACAGTGTTCAGACAAGACTAAGCCTTCGCTGGATGTATCCTCCCATTATTGAATGAGCAAGAAAAGGTTTAATATTAGCATGCATCATATTTCTTATCCTAGAAAGTGAGGACTTTATCCCCCACCTCCCATGTTTCTACATCCCCATCAAACCACTTATATAACCACCATAAAAACAACCCAAGCTATGGTAGGTAATCAGTAGAACTTCTTTTATCCTCCCTCAGCCGTGAAACCCACCTCAGCCACTCTAGCCCAACTTGCCCCCTCCTGAACGTGAACTGATTGTAGCTACAGGTTCAACATGCATCAGAGGCTGCTTTGTGTTTGCCTTTCTGTTTATACAATATGTCTCCACAACTAAGCAGTGACTCTCCTCACCTACCTGGTCTAAACCAGGAGGCCACTTAATCAAAAAAGTCACTTAGGGTTGAGAACAACACAAGTTAATGCACACCTAAAACATATATATATATATGTATATGTATGTATATATAAAAGTCTAAGTGACTGTATGGCCAGATGATCAGCTGATAGCTATAATATGTATTGAACACCAGGGGGCAGATGCTCACCTGGGCACTGTGCCCTGGTGGTCAGTGTGCTCCCAGAGCTAACCTCCCACAGTCTCTCCCCCTAGCTGGCCAGCCCCAATCGGGACTGGGCAAGATAGCCCCCATCAACGGCCAGGTCAAGAGACCCCACCATGCACAAATTCGTACACGAGGACTCTAGTTTTAACATAAAACAAATAACTAGACATTGATTTGCCACTCCTTTGACATGGTCAAAAGCCTGTTCTTTAAGTACTTCTTCATTCTTTAGAAGGTTAGGCCCTAGCATAATGTCAGGTGTGGAATTCAAGCTCAATAATATTGTCTGGTGAGAGCCAAACGGACCAACAACACTTGCTCTCTCTATTCCCTTTCACACCACCAACCTTCACAGTCTTCCTCTCTGCCTCATGGCAGACCACTGAGGGATCTCTTCTCTTTCTGCCCATGGCTTTACATTCTAAAGCCATACCCCCAAAGAATCCAGCTTCTGGCTTTGGGAAGGAGGAGATGGTTGGCTCTTTGACATTTGGGAACAACAATTCCTCCTGGTGGAAAATGAACACAGTGCATGCAGGCTGGCTTTTGGAGAAGCATGGCTCGCTCCTTTCTCTGCAAACACCACCAGTTACCGCTGAGTGTTTGCCACGTGGCCGATGTTTATGTTTACCCTGTGGTGATTCCTGAGGGGGCTGTGTGCCCACACAAACAGTATGCTTTTCTGACTAAATTATAAACGCTTTTTGTCTAAAATTTTAAATGCAGAACACTTTAAACATCATGTCTATTCCATGAATGTGACTGATTAGCAGATAGTTATTAATAACATACATTAGTAGAAAACAAACTCCTCCTTTTATCTGGGAGATAATGAATTCAGTCAAGATACATTTTTAACTATTGCCATGTGTCCTGAAGACATGAATAAGTTGATGGAGTCTACGCATATTATCTTTTCCAGAGGAGGTTCATTAATAAAGGCTGCCTATTCACTTTGCCCGACAAAGACACCGTTTCATGCAATAGTCTGGAGATGAAACCTACACACAGAGTAGTATGAAGGCCACTTGTTATCTGTTTTGTTTTTTTGTTTTGTTTTGTTTTCTGACACTGATGTTTTAAATAGTAAAGTTCTGACATACTGTTTTAAAAAGAGATACAAGCATCTCGGGCTTTAAAGACACATGACGTGTTTTACAAACATAACCAATTAATAGATGAAATAATGCTCTTGGATAAGTTCCATAAATGATGTTCTTGTGAAAGGAAAGGGAGAGCTGCACGCCCAAATTAAGGGTGAATTAAGAACCTGGGATGGTGGATTTGCAAGGCAGTGAGCTGGAACAGGAAATGGGATCAGAAGAGGAGCAGATGTAAAAGTGAATGGCGGTGTTTTTAGAATTAAATGGCACCTTTACAGAGAAATAAATGGTTACCTTCGTTCATTAAAGTATTTCCTATTCAATTTAATACTTTGTGATGTGAGTTTTGAGTGACATTTATTTTACTTCCCAGAGGGGCTCTGGTGGGCGCACCATCCGCACAGGGGAGGGAGGCCATGTGTCTTACAGGGGGTGTGATGACATGTCCAGCATTTCATGTCCTTATGTACAGACTAGCCAAGCAAGATGCTATCTTGGACCTTATTTGACCAAAAAGGCAGTGACTACTAATTCTGAGTGAAGAATAAGAAAACAAAAACATCTCTCAAATATCCATGGACCTATGAGGTCTGCCATTGTCTTTTTAGAACATCAAGGCCTGCTGGTTTAATCAACATAAAACTGTCAGCAACTTCTTATTAGGTTGATAAGGGACACGCTTCCTTTGAAGTCTGGCCAGTCCACTGATGGACACCCCACACTGACCAAGTGAGCACCGGAGATGGCACTGTTACATAATAAAGAGTAGAATTCTTCAATGCACAAAGGATGTACGAGGCACAGACCAAAGATGGACTTGAAATGTAACCGTTGGTGAAACAGGACAGTTGGAATTAAAAAAAAAAAATTACTACTTGTAGTAATACTTTCAACTAAAGCCTCTTAAAATCTATTTAGGTCTGTTTCTCTTTAGGTTTCAGGAATCGTATATTAATTTCTCATATCACTATTCATAAGCTTAACTAGAGTCCTTCGAAGAAACAAGACTAAGTACAAGTCCCATAGTATACTTAATATTGAATAAAGCAAAATGATAAACTTCTAACAAATTATTACTAGAGGCTTCTAAGATTTTTAAAAGCTAATTTACATGCAAATAACAGGGATGATGGACTTCCAGAGTAGATGAGTTTTAAGTCACAACAATGTCTGCAGGTTGCTCTTTTGTTCTCTTTGTCTTTGAAGGATTTGGATCATGAACAGAAGAAAAGTTTGATTCTAAGAGTTCCCAAAATGCCTACAGAACCTAAACCAGGTTTGACAAATTTTTGCCATCCACCAACTCGGAGGCAGACATTACAGAAGGAAACAGTCCGTTTCCTGAGGATTCATGTTTATGCTGCATGGAATCTAGAACTTCCCACAAAGCCTTACTTTATAGTTGTTTCAGTTCATGTTTGTGTAAGTATGAGGCTTGGAGGTGCCTGCACGCAATAGCAGTGGTATGCAGAGGTGACCAATCAGTGACTAGGGGCCTGTGAATGCTCTGGGGGCCCTTTATAGACATGCATTTTGCAGTTATGCAATTTACCACAGTACAGTCACTCTAGAAAGCAGTCTTAAAGAAGCCCTTAGGGAATGCCATAGCTGCCTCTGGTATATTCTGAAACTTCCAATTGCACAGACAAATCACTGAGCAGAAGCTAGGCCATTATAGCAACCCAAATCCTCAGCATCTCTGGGAACAATTCCGGAGTCTCTCTTAGAAATGTCTAGAACCTGGACTAGAACCTGCACCAGCCACACACCCACTTCTGAGCTGAGCAGCTCACAGGGGCCATATCTAACCAGCAGAAAAAGATGTTCTGAATGCTGGCTCTTTCCCCCCACCCCCCCAAAAGAAGATACTGAGAAAAAGCTCCTGAGGAAAAGATAATATTCCCAGACATCCGTAATCATTAAGGAGGCCATCCATCTGATTCTTACCGGTAATTAGCCCTCTTTAATAAAAAATTAAAATGCTGTGCTTATAAAATGGATGCATCTACTTGAGGAAACTATCCAATTTCTCTTCACTAGTTATCATTTCTCTCCTCTGTGTGTATGGAAAATTTCCTCTCCACTGGTCTTAACATCACTATTTGGAGCCTACGACCCGATTCTCGACATTGAGCTGTGGTGAAGAAAAAGAATAGGAGTTTCTCTTGATTTTTACCTTTCTTCTCTTCTGCCTTTTCCTCCAGAGCTGGTGCTTTTTCAGCTAGAGAGCCATTACCTTCTTCAGATTTTACTATATTTTCCTCTCGGGTAGATTCCTCTCCGATGGGTATCATGTGCCCATTTGAATTTTCAAAGTTAACTGTTACATCTCCATCTAAAATAGGGAAAGAAACACCTAGATGTCTAATTGGATGGCTTTCTTAAAACCCAACTTTATAGTTACTAGCACTGTAGGGTTCAGGTTTCAGGCCCTGGGAACCAAATACATCCTGTACTATTTCACTGTGTTTTACTAAATAATTCATTCAAATGAAAGAACTAGAAAATCCTTTATCTTGGGAGGGAGCAGCTATGGAGGGGGCATCCAGAAGCCATTCAGATAGTCGGATGGATCAGCCTAATGATAAAATACCCTCGGGCAGCGGAGTCCCTTCTTGTGTTTAAGTTTTGTTGAAGTCAATACTAGGAGTCAGTCTCTTTGTCATTCAGAAACTGAACCTAAAAGAAATAACCTGAAAAATGGAACAGACATTTTAACAAGCACCAAAAACACAGGGTGAATGAAAATACACAAGCAACACAAAATGTACTTACGCATACAAACAATTAGTGGGAGGATATGACATTTTCCAAGCACCACCATCTGCAGAATATTACCTCTATGATATGTTAACTTAATGCAGTAGTACAGCTGCTCCTCTACATTCAAGGAATGATGGTAGCAAGGCTAATTTTATTTTCAGTATCGTGTTTATGACAATATTGAAATGAACTCATATACTTTGTTATATATAACCAATCAAATAATCTTTAAGTTGGCCTGGTAATAATGTGAACATATTAGGGGTAAAAAATGCAGAAAAAGTAGTTATAGAATTTTAAAAAAAAAATCATAACTAAAAATAATATTTTATTTTAGTAAAATAAAATAAATATTTCTTTAATAACATATTATACTAATATGCTAGCTAAATCGTAAATAACCACGTGCAACCCTGAATATTCACAATTACTAGGAATTTCTAAAGTGAAAAGAGATTTTGCAAAAACTCTTCATTCAGCTACCAAAATGCTTGAAAAGATTAACCCTGGAAAATTTTATGAAGCTTTGCTACCATTGCAAAAAATAAAAAATAAAAAATTAAGGAATTGAAGTTTTTACTGAGAAAGCTTGAATGCATAATTACTGCTAATGTACATAATTCTGATTTATCTTATTTTGCCAATCATTATAAAACAAACCATCTTCCAAATTTTCATTAAATACGAGTAAATGGCTTCGGCTTCACAATAAAATCAGCTGGCCTTATTGACAAAAACAAGCATGGCATTTTAAGTAAAATATACATGGCATTTAAGTAAAATATACATATCATAAAGTTATATTACGTTCAAAATGCCAAAGTTTTTGCTTAGTCATGTGACTTTCCAACACTTCTAATCTGACTCATGTATAAAAATAAAATAGACAATAATTGAAGGTAATGCCATTGCTAGTACATCTTAACTATTTCAATAAAATTAAGGCAATACATTTTTTAAAGAGTATGTGTCAACACAAAAAAAGAAACCAAAATATTCTTAATTATTATTATAAGAGCAAATTGGATTATCATATGATGGAAATCGTTGACAACATGAAAGGATACTTACTTTGAGATATGAAATAAAGCTACTCTTATAAAAAAAAACAGAAAAAGAAAGCATATCTGTAATAAATGTGGAAGTTAAGAATAAAATAAAGAAGTGAAATCAATTGGTGTGTGAGAAAGCTTTCTAGCTTTGTATATTATTTTGGAATTAAAACAAGTTGAGTCCTTAATATAGATTATGTGTGTAAGTAAAATAAAAGCTCAGCAAGAGAAGGCAAAAGAAGATGCTAAGCTAGACTGCAAGTTATATAAGAGGCCCACACCTAGTATTATAGGAGCATTTATATGCAAAGAAATGAGAAAACTCAGAAAAGAGTTGAGATTAGAGTAAACCAAGAGCGAAAGCACACAGAAAAATAAGAGGTTAAGCAAGGAGCTTGAGAGGGTGGGAGGGTGTTCCCCTCTTTCCAGCAAACAAGTGTGTGTGAGATATAGTTAATACAGGAACACAGACGAGGAGAAAATCAGGTATGAACAGAAGGTGAGTAACTCTTTAGAAGGCTAGAAAGTACACCAAGAGAGAAGAGGGAAGGAGGCTGGCAAGCAGGCAAAAACATCTACCTGCCCTCATGTTAAAGCTAAGGGAAAGGATGGAAAGGAAGACCAGAAGTTCAGGACTGAACTTGGACTAGACCATCAACTTCTCAAGAGAGACGACCAGTTGCTGAACTTTCAGATTGAAGTTAGATCTTGGTGTAAAAAAGGTAATTTAAAAGGAATAATAATAATAGCTGTGGAGTGGGGTGGGACAAGGTCCAACGCAGGATAGCTGGAAAGGTTTAAACAGTCTGTCTGGCTCCCTGGCGGAAGGGCATAATTGACAAGCACTGTCAAGAGCTAAGACAAGGTCAAGGAGATCAAGGCAATGAATGAATCCTCATGGCAGAGGAGAGGGGACTGTCACCAAGCACAGCAGCTTCCAGTCTCTGGCTAGAACTGAAAACAGACTGAAATTCTCAAGATAACTGTTTATGGAAAAATGACAGAAATCTATTCTCTCCAGCTCTTGGCAGAAAAGGGGGAAAGACTATTTCCAATAGGCATCACTGGGAATGTCCAAGCATTAGATAATTTCTATAGTTGTCTACAGGGACTCTGCAAAAGGTGAAAGTAAAACTCAGTAATTGATGACTTCCCAAACATTAAAACCTATTTCATTATGTTTAGGTTAAAAATTGTTTTCTTCCTTTGTGTCTTAGAACTTTTAATGTTCAGTCTGCAAAAAGTAAGTAAAAAGGTCAAGAATGTCAGACTTTGGGGGAAATAAGTCTAATTGTAATCCATCAAGCAAATGATATAACAGGAAGAATAAAAACAAAGCAATACTGAGCATTTCTTTAGATTAACAATTGCCACTTGTTTTTAGAAAAAGTATACTCTTTCCTAGTTACAATTTTTTAATTAGATAAAAAATGGGACTTTAATCTCTATCTTTAATATTCATTAACAGTTTCAATCATAAATTTTCCTTCCTTTTCCCCTTTTAAAAAATACAGAAATAGAAGTGACCAGGCAGCATTCACTGGATTTGTAACTCCTCTCCTGCCTCCAGAGAGATTAGAGAGGAGACATTTTTATACTGTGAGCCGACCTTCAAGGAGAAAAAAAATTAAGGATGTATATTTTTTATTTTTAAAAGTCCCAGGCAGGAAATAAGGAGCTTCAAAGTAATAGAAAATTAGGGAAGACAAAATTCATTCATAAAATGGAATGGAGAAATATATAACAGGCCAGAAATCAAAGTAAAATACCTGAAATTGTGAGGGAGGGCTCAAAAAAATAAAAATAAATAAAAAGGTAGTATTCATTCCAGTCTTCCCTGTTTTCTTTGAAGCAAGAAAAAAAATAGTAAAACATTTCTTAGCTCCACTTGGATTATTCAAATGCTGGAAAAAGCATGTCATTTGGTTTATAAGTAGTGAAGGCCAAAAGATGTTAATTTCTTTGCAAGGAACATAGATCAGGAAAAGAGATGTGCTATTATTTCAAACCCAATTTAATATCTTATTATTTGTTTCTATAAAAGTATAATAATAATTTGCCCCAGTAAATGTTGCCGAGGCAGGAGGTAAATGAACAATGTTGCAACAAAAATTTCTTCAGTTTTTTAATAGTAGTGGGGACAATGAAAATTATTTAGTTTTATTTACTTGGAGAAATAAGAATCTTCTTTTGAGGGTATATTTCAGTTTCCATCTTATTCTTATCTTTTTAGAAGAAACGAGAAAAAAAGGGGAAGCAGATAGAGGTAGAAAAAAATACTTGGAAATAATTGTTAGTGAAAAGGTGAGAGACAGATCCAAAGAAATGAGAACAATGGGAAAATTACTTGAGAGAATGATAAAGCAAATTAACTTTTAATTTGCCCACTCATGCCTTACTGATTGTAAATTTGAGTGCATTATTAAGGACAAGAGAGGTATGTTTATCATCTCTTTTCTCTCTCTTTACTTTTACTGATAAACTTAAGAAACCAAAGTTAGGAGCCAAGCTACAACTCAGCACTTGACCAAACAACTGAGTTAATTTGGATGGAAAGACTGAAGCTCAACAATAAAGATAAGAAGCAGTCCCGTAAGTATTTGCATCTTATCTGTCTCTCCAGCTACAGGACGCCTTTGTAGAGCTTTAGGTTTAGAGTGACATACAGTGAAGGATTCACCAAAAAAGGTCATTGAATTTCTTTTCTGGAAGACCTGAGATTCATTGCAGCTCACAAAGGCATTCTGAATTAAAACAAGGTTCTCCTAGGGTGGCACTCACCGCTTTATCTCCCAAAGGCCAGGATCATCTTAAGTTTTGAAGGAAATTGAAAGAAGGACCAAAGAATGAAGGATCAAATTATTTTAAATGTATGATTAAGTTCCTCACCTTGATCAGGCAATTCCTTAAGAACTCCCCTTCTTATCAGCTCCTCTCTACTTTGTCTGGTGGATATCTTCCTTTCTAATACTTTTAAAAAGAATAAGCACATATAAGAATCAAGTCATTGCTCAAAATAATTATGAAAAACATTCCAAATACATTCATTCTGTTCACTTGAAGATTCAAACCCCAGTTTTTCTAGTTGTCTAGCACAACATGTGACTGGAGTCAACACAATTAGGCCAAGGGCAATGACCAGAGCCCCCAGTCTGAAACCCAGCCTTCCAAATGATGGTGATGGGCCAAGAATCCAGACAAATTATTTCATATCAACTACTTCTCACTTTCAAGTATTTCTTTAGTAATGGTGCATTCTAAAACATAAGTTTTTGTGAACACAAAATGTACATAGAGAATATGTATATTTACAGTAAAAAACAACAACAAATAAACAAACTTTCAGTAAACATTCGGGTAACCCAGAGATAAAAGATGACTTTTGCAGTGTTTTATCTCTCGCACATCATATTACAAAAGTCCAACACATCAGATTTCTGTAACTCTTTTCCTTGCCATACTAAACAATTATGTAGTGTTCTTATATCCCCAGACATATTCTGTCTTAGGAAGATGAAGTCGAGTCATGCAAAGGGGTGGGACTCTCAACATTGTTTATTCTTTCTCCTGGAAGAATCTAAATTCTAGTTACAAATTCAGAGTGGAGCTTCAGAGCTCGACGTGCCACTTCAGTATTCACCTCCCATGTGTATAATATTAGTTCCTGGACCCTACATGTCTATGTAACCGCGAGCTCCACCCCCCACTTTCAGGGCCCTACAAAGTGTATAAAATTAATGCATGGTATGTCACCTACTAATCCTTAGAGCCAACATTCCCCGAAGTGTAGCCCACAGAATGCTTCCTCGGGGTGCCCTGTTCAAAAAGGCACCCAGACGCAGCAAAAAGGGCCAGCGAAGGGGCTTAGGACTCTTCTGGGAAGGGCAGGTACACTGGGCAGCAGCAGCAGGACTGGATTCTGACCCTCTTTACAATTCCAACTCTAGACCTTCTAATCTGCAAATACTAAAGACACCCTGGACAAGGCAATTACCCCAAGCCATGCCCTGACACACACAAACAGAGCCAACGATAACACGAAGAACATGTTTTTTTGTTGGGGGTGGAGAGGGAGAGGGCTCCAGGTGGCCTGAAGCAAGGACACGTGGGAGGGAAGGGAAGGGAAGGGAAGGAAAAGGGAGGGGTGCTCTGGGTCTGAGAACTTTGTATTAAACACCACAAAGTCCTCAATAAGTGTTTAGTAACGTCATGAGCCCCAATATAGCAACACTTAGTCTCTCTTGAAGAAATTGAAAAATTTCCCCCCTTTTTGATAACCAGGATTGGTGTATTTCTTTTTTAACCTAGTTTCCAGAAAAGCGAGGGTAAAAGTTAATATTTAACACAGATTTCATATCATAATTCATGGGGGAAATCTGTTTGCCCCTCCTCAGTGACCTGCCTTCATTTATAGTCTATTGACTGCCTCATGTGCTCTTTGTTCTAGGTTTGGTCAAACTTTTCTGGATAGAATCAGAATGCAAAACAACAAGAAAATGAATGAATAAGTGAAAAAAGAAATAGTGAATTACAGATTCAAATGGAGAGACACACAGAAGCATCCCCTGTTCCTTTATGTTACCATCCATCCCCACCTCCACCTACCCTTCCAGAAGGAAGTAACAGCAGCTCATTTAGATGCTGTGGTCTCAGTGGACAAAGTTATCTGGGAGTGGGGGGCCAGCGTGCCCTGTTCTTTCATACCTGTTCTTCTAGGTAAAAAGAGAGCTGTTACTTAACTACAGCTTCGCTTTGCTCAGGCTTTGGTCAAAGAGGGGGGAACCCCTGTCAGCACAGGAAGCCAAGCAGCAACACCCACAATGACACTGTGGGACACTGCTGAGATGTGCAGGTGATTGGAGGGCCCTGGCCGGGGCAGTCTCCCCTGGACCCCACAGATCCATCTACGCTTGGTTGGGGTTCTGAGGGGAGGCTGGCCTCTTACAGGCCTCGTCCCCTACTACTGGGGTGGGGGACAGAGGCCGTGCTGCTGAGTCTGAGGATGCAGGTGGCACCCTGTGCCTGGGATGAGGCCACATCCTGATAGCCAACTGCACTGCCGATGCAGAAGGCAGTCATTGTGGCATCTGCCCCTTGCTCTTTGGAAACGACTTCCAATTGTTTGCTGCTTCTGTAAAGTGGCCGAAACCACAAAAATGGTTGTCAGGAGCCCTAGATTCTAGCACCAGAACTTCCACAATAGTTGTGTGACAGCTGGCAGTCCCAGAAGTTCCAGGCTCCTGATCCGTTATCTGGAAACCGAAGGACGAGATTCGATGATCCCTAAAGGATTCTCGCCCAACTCAAATGCTGTGGGACCCCGTATCATTAATCAAGGACCTTTTGTAATCTCTGCGTTAAGCGCCTTTTAAATCTTCACATCCTTTCTATGAAAAACTATCTGAGAGCCCAGAATTCCATCATGGATTCCAGAGCATGCTTTAATTTTAACTTTACATTTTCTGTTGCTTTAATTCCAACTTCATCTCGGCTAAAAATCCCTCCTCTTTCTCCCTTGTAAATCCTGGAGCTTTGAAGTAGCAGCCTGGCTTCCTGCCAAGACTCAAAACCCACAGCTTTGTTCCTTGGCTCTACCTCCTCCCAACAGGGCTCAGATAGGAAAATGCCTCCAGCTATTTGTTTGGTCTTTGGCCGGGCACATTTTTAACACATAAAGCAGATAACTGTGTTTGGGGCCAATGAGAACAAACTGCAGGCGACTGAGCGTGGAAGGTATGCTGTTAGGGCACTAAGTTCCAACCACGGCACTCCCAGAAGAACAAGTATTTCACTCTTCGTCTTTTAAAATATGTGCCTCCTGTTTATATAGTGTCTGTATGTTTGCAGAGCACATTCACTGAACACTTTCATAGGCTCGGAAAGGTTTTGCATCGGAATGAATCTGAGAGTTCATTCTGGTCCAACAGCCACACAAAGCAAGAGTCATTTCAGGAGCTTTCCTGAGACGTGCTCACCTGCTTGCACACCCGTAGAGGCAGGGTGGGTGCTATGGCAGAGCCCCCTCTATTTATCCATCTCCCGCATTTTTAGGAAGATATTCATCATAAGGAGTCGAAATCATGATCCCCACAGCTCATGATCCCCACAGCTCTGAGATATTTGTGCAGGGGAAACAGCCCGCGTTAGCTCGGTGTTCACCGAGAACAAAGTGGGCTGTTGAAACCTCCTAGGCCCTGATCCCAAGCATCTGCTCTTGGACTTTGAAGCTCATGCTAATCTTTGCAAGAAGAGCGATAATGTCGGGAGCCCTGCTCACAAGCTATAGCATAACCACTGCCGGATGCCGGAGAAGAGTCTTTGTAGGACACTCATCCCTGGATGAGGGAGCGAGATCTGTCCATGAAAAGTATTCCCGCCAGTTGTGTTAATGACTCATGGTTACTCACCTTTACCCTAATTTAAAAAGCATGCGTGATTTTTACACCAGATCAAGCAAAACTAGAGTTTCTGTTTCACACTCTGCAACTGGGCGAGTTAAAGTTCTAACAGTCTGATCCTGATGACAAGAGCACACACTCCTCTGAGATGTGATGGGCGTGTGGTCCCTGTTTTCCTGACTTCATGCTTAGACTCTGGTTTATCGTATCTTTGAAAAGGATCAACCTTCCAAAAATTCCCACTGACTGCCTATCTCACATTCAATAATATCTCAACTCCTTGGCATGGTCTCCAGATGACCCATAGGTTAGTCCTCCCTTATCTGTCTCCCTCCTTACCACTCTTTCCTGGCTCTCTCTGTTCCAGCCTCTCTGACCTCAGCTGGTGGCGTCTGTCCTTATCTGGGATGCAATTTCCCTAGAACTCACATGGCTTACTCTGTCCCTTTCTTCATGGTTCCCTTTTTAGAAATACGTTTTCTACACACCCAGTGTGGAATAACTTGTTCCCCTTCTTGTCTTTATCTGTCTTTCTATCCTGCAAAATATGTCACCTTCTGACACAGAACCTACTACTTAGTCTTGATGAGAATCAAAACCCTGTTTTGCTTACTGCTGTATCTCCAACAGTGCCCTGCAGGTGATTGGCACTCAGAAGATAATGTGTGTTTGTGGAATCCTAGCTAATAAAGACAGAATATGCAAATTGACTGCAACTCTGTGACAAAAATGGTGGCACCCACAGCCAATAAGGAGGGAATATGCAAATTGATGTGACAAGGCAAGAGGTGGAAAGGCAGCTCTGGGCCAGAGCGAAGGTGGTACCAACAGCCAGGGAAAGGAAGGCCTATTCTTGCATGAATCTTCATGCATCGGGCCTCTAGGAGATGAATAAAAGAAAATAGGCTGATAATGATAATGTCTTGTTTTCTGCCCCTTTTCTACCTCCAATCTAGGTGAAAGCAAGTGAGGCTTGTGGCAAAACTTGAAGAACAAGTCTTCTGTCTTCTCCTTGCTCTACTCTTTGGCTGGGCCAGGCGAGGGGAAAATCCTCAGCTCTCCGTCCTATGGCTCATCTGAAAAAGGCCCCTGTATGCTCTGGAAAAGGGCAGTCATCATGTGTACAGGACACCAGCCAACCAGCAGGGTGTAGCACACGCCTGGGCTCATCATAAATTACAAGTGATTTATGATGTCCTCTGGGCACGGAGCCTGCATTCAGGAGGGGAAGCTGGGCATATGGCACTGGCTCCTCTCTGAGGACCCATAGCCAGGACTTTCTACTCTCTTGGAACCATCTGTGTGAGTAAATATTGCAGTCCACAAGCCACCGGTGTTTTCTTTTGGCCAGAAAAGGAGTCCTAATGTTGAATTCTAACACCGTTTAATGACGGAACAAAATAGGAAGGTAAATAGAAAAACGATTCAACGAGCGTGCCATGTTATCTGCTCGGTCCCAGGGCTGAATGGCCTCCCTGTGGCTCTGGGAAGGAACAGAGGAGCACTTGTCTCGCGCTGAAAGGGTTCTATAAGCCCAGCTTGGCTTTACCTCTCCTCGACAGCAGTGACAGA